AACAGAAAATATTTTGTTTTTTCTAAATTGAATATCAGAGTATTATATCCGAACCATTTCTCGATTATCTTAAAATCATCTTTGACTTTTGACTTCAAGGATTTCCATGACTTAGATCCATAAAAAATAGCGGTCTCGTCTGCGAAATTCAGAATTTTGCTTTCAGTTTTTATATTCAGTAAATTAATAATATATAGAGATAACAAGAGAGGGCCCAGTACCGTTCTTCATGGTACTCCATATGTAACAGTCATTGGTTCACTCAAAGTCTCACCAATGCGAATTCTTTGGTCACGATCTGTTAAATACCTCTTCAAAATTTTGTAAATATCACCTCTCATGCCATAGTTTTTCAATTTTTCCAGTAATTTGATGTGGTACACAGTACCAAAAGCTTTAGAGAGATCAACAAATAAACAAAGCGATAGCTTGCTTGGATTTAATAAATTGTAGACATAGGTTGAGAGTTGACGAATTGCACCATCCATTGATTTTCCATCTCTAAAGCCATATTGATGAATGGAAATTCTGTTAAATCTGTTACAAAATCTAGACATTCTGATTTTGATAACTTTTTCCAAAATTATCGCAATGTTGAGAGAGAAATTGGTCTATAGTTTTCCATCTGTAATTATCTCCATTTTTAAATAGTGGATTCACGAGTCCAACCTTAAGCGCTATTGGAAGTGAACTCTATCAAAACAGCAGTTAAACAAATAAGTGAAGGCACTTTTTATCGTATCGGATATATGTCTCAAAGTTTCTGCTCGTAAATTATCGTGACCAGGCGATTGCATTTGTTTCAAACTCATGATAACTTTTTTTACTTCACTAGTTTTTGTTGGATAAAGATACATCAATTTTCCTTGAATATTTTCATTTTCAACGTGCTTTTCAGGAACTATTATATTGTTGTGTTTTTCAAAATGAAGCACCCTGTATTGTGTTATATTTTTGAATAGGTCAAGAAAAAATAATATGATTTAATGAAAGGTATTATTTACGTAACTATAATTTCTCTCGAGTTATTGATTTTTTTACGAAAATGAAAACTAAATAACATCGAGATGTATAGAAATCGTCCCTTCGAATTCTGACCAAAATGCTGAACTGATTTTTGGGTTTTGATTCGTGTTCTGTATTATTATCCCCACTGGAGTTGATCTCACATTTCCACAAAATCTCATTTGTCTTCTACTGGTGATTTTTGTTGAGTGTTCGGAAGTCGACAGACCTTACTGGATCCACTCCATACTTAGATATAGTGATGACTGTTACGTGTTCGAAAGGAAGCAGATCGTGTAAGGACAGCCTACTTCCGAACATGTAACAAACATCACTATACATATAATGATATAAAGGTCGGTTGAACTGTTGTGAGATCAATCCCAGTGGGAATAATAACGCAGAAACACGGATCAAAATTCAATAATGAAACTTACCTCCTTTTGTCACCCAGGCTCCATTGGCTAAGAATGCACAGCACACTAAGAAACTAATTTTTGCCAACATGTTTGTAGCACGACTGCAACAAACTACACTTTCCTGTACTATTTATATATTGAGATAAGTGCCTCTCAATGCCAAATGATCAAGAAAATCACGAATAAAGTACCAATCGAAATAGGTACTCACTTGGATAATGGCTGCATACAAAAGTATCTGAAAAAAAAAGCATCTTATCACAAATTTCATACGTGCACAAACAACTTTTGGAAAACTCACAATAGGGAAAAGTTGAATATACGTTTCATCACTGATAGATATACTAGCACATGCAATTGTGTCATAAGTTTCTGAAAATAACCTGTTATGGAAAATGCCGAGTTCATTGGTGTAACTAACTTTTACCATCTTTCAAATTATGTAATTCGTCTCCACTATACATATTCGGCTATATATATATTCGATCAAAGCTTACTTCATTGATTGACCTTACCAAAGGGGCCTTACTGCAAAAACTTGGAAGTTATCAGATCAACTAGAAAACTGATCGAAACAAGATCCCAAAAACAAGTAAGTACAACAGTCATCGTATATAGCTGTAATATCCCTCGATTTTATTCATAACAGAGAATGTATGTTATGTTACGGAGCTTCTGCACAATAGAAAGAACTTGGTACAACGACATGAAATTCAACAATAATGTTACGTTGGCAAAAATATTGAAAATCGAAAATGAAGAACCACAGGACTCAATTTCTGCATAAAATAATAATTTTACGTCTATTACATTAGCTGCATGTTGATAATTATGTGGATGACATTTGATTTGATATTTGATATNCTCCCAAGTTTCTCCTGTGAAGATCAGAGGTGCATCATCTGCATAACATAGAATGTAAAAACCTTTCAAGTATTCTAAATGCATTTACAGATTAGTTTAGCAGTGTTTGTACCACCTCAATTGATAATATCGCCTTTGATAAGAATACACCATTGAATACACCAACTATATCACTGAGTAAACTAAGTGAAGACGACGTTCAGATCTGTTTGAAGGTGGTTGACAATGTTTCGTGGTGTATTTCATCAGTTCGGACTTCTAATATAATATAAATTGATTTGATAACCCTGAAAAAATCAAAAAGATTAACCGAAAATAACAGTTTTATATGTTTTTTAAATCTTTGATGATTTTTATAAGTTAGCTGTGACGTTGTTGAAAAGAAATAGATGAGAGTTTGACAGACAAAAATTTTAGATTTTAATTTGGTTCTTCGAGACTGGATATTTCCAATAATACCTAATTTACAGGTAAAGTCAAAACATATGGTCCTTTGTTGCCTATAAAGAACATCAATTTGGTAATACAAAGGCAGAATTATGTATGAATTGAGAACAAGTAAACGACTCGCCGAAAAAAGAAACCAAAAAGACGCAGAAAAGAATGCTGAAGCCGATAAGAAGTTAAACAGATCAGACGAGGTGCATGTGCAAATTTTTTCTGATAGATCGGTGGTAGATCCAAATGACGTTGACAAATCTACCCAAGAATCAATGAATGCAGACAGCAAGAAAAATTATTCTGTACATGGTAAATCTCATGAAAGCAAGGAAGTCAGCACAAGAAGTACTGCGTTATCAAGACGTCAAAAGCAATGTGGAATCGAAATTCAGATGAAAAAGAAACAACTGGAAATTAAAAATCAGCAAGAGGTTTTGAAAAAACAACAAGAAATCTTAGATTTGGAACTTGCAATGAAAGTAGCCCAAATTGAAGAAATTGAGTCAGTATCTACTCACCAAGATAAAACTGGATCAAATGAATACAAGGAGTCAGTGGCAAGCTACATTCCTAACGTATAAAAGTGGATGACAGGAAGAATGAAGATGAATGAAGATTATCACTTGTGATCAGAAACACGTGTCGAGGTGCTGAAATAACGGTTTGGTGTTGTGATATTCATAAACCTACTGTGTAGGTAATGGAAGACTGACCTGAACAAATTGTTCAAACGCTCAAAGCGATGCCAATGACAGGTTCTGGTCCAATGAAGCCGCTTGCAGCACCCTCCTTTGCAAGACAGTCAGCACCTTCATTGCTTTCAGGCCAGTATGACCAGGAATCCAGACCAGAGACAATCTGTTTAGTCTTCCTATCGAGGAGAGTTTTTTAGGCAGTTTGCTACCAATTTAGACGTTGCTCGGTGGAAGCCAAGAGCTTCCAACGCCGTGAGTAAGGTTGGATTCATCCTATCTCTCCGCACACAATTCAATAGCGTGAATGTCCGCTTGAAATACAGTCGCATAAGTTCCTAGGCAGTCTGTCCTGGATCTGCGACTGAAAACACCTGCACCAGAACCGGAAGGTGTTTTTGATTCATCTGTGAACCAACATCTATCTGCTCTTAATACTTCCTTCTCCCTCAGGATCCAGTCCTCTCTACTCGGGAAGAGAACTTTATATGGCAGTTCGTAGTTGACAGATGGAGGCATAAGGTCAGAGGTCATTTTCAGAATGTTGTGACTTCCAATGTCAACCAACCGTCTGCATTGAATTGATTTGTGCAATTGGCAATGTGCACAACAAGTCTGTATGCAGTTCATCTAGCCTCTTTTTCCAGAAAATTGTGTAGAGGAGGTAGATCTAGAAGGATCTCCATGGCCGCTGACGGTGTGGTACTGATGGCACCACTGATAGCCAGACAAGCCTGTCTCTGTAAGCCAGAGAGCTTCGCTTGGGCCGTTTTCTGTAAAGCCTTCGGCCACCAAGCAATTGCACCATACGTGATCATTGGTCTGACAATCATCACATAAATCCAGTGGATTTGTTTGGGACCTAAACCCCAAGTTTTACCACAAATCCTTCGAGATGTCTATAGAGACAGTCTGGCTTTGTTTGAAACTTTTTCCAAGTGAGCGTTCCAGGTGTGTTTTTTATCAAGGACAATGCCAAGATATTTCACCTCCGTTTCAAATGGAATGACCACAATATTGAGGGAAAGTGGCGTTAGATCGTCCAATTTCTTTCTCTCGGTGAAGGGGATTAACGCAGTTTTGCTGGGGTTGACAGACATCTGCTCCCTCAGGCGCGTCCAACGCGCTTTGGAGGATATTACAAGCTACATACCCGATGTGGACTTCGCCAGGATGACAAGGTCATCTGCATAAGCTTGCAGATCAACTTTTCTTCTGTCGAGGGCATCAAGCAGACTAGTGGATAGTCTGGACCAACCACAGAGCTATGTTCCTAACGTACAAAAGTGGATGACAGGAAGAATGAAGATGGGATCGAGGTGCTGAAATAACGGTTTGGTGTTGGAAAAAACTCCAGTAACATTCATAAACCTACTGTGTAGGTAACGGAAGACTGACCTGAACGAATTGTTCCTTCAGATAATTTGTTGCTAAGCAAATTTACGGCACCGTTGTCACCGTATGGATTGTAAAAATTAAATTATGCAACCAAATTCACTGTTTCTTCAAGCTTTACATAGGTACAGAGTTGCATCAGCTATTCCAGACTAAATAAATAGCTGAAATAAGTGAAACACAATTTTTTCATTCTGTTTACTGCCATTTCATCAATTTCATAATACAGTATCATTAAAAAATTATCATTCTATATCAAAAACTTAACTTATGTAAGCGAGGATTTGATAGAGAATATATTTTGATTCAGTTCGAGAGATATATTAGTACTTTTGAGAAATTATTCAGTATGGATAACATAAACTGATGGAACACTAATTGAATTATGAAGAATCAGGTTTTGTTGTAGTTTGGTTACCATCACCTTCGCAAATTATGTAGTTGTTCTTGGTGCAATCGGCACGATTCCATGACATGGAGATATCAGAAGAATCCTGAGTCACCTCAAGGCAAGTTCCATTGTCTGAAGGTTCATTCTTCGACCAACGCGTGAAAGAGAATGGTTTTCCAGTAGTTTCCCAATACCAAATATCTCCGCTTCTCAATCCAGAAGTCCAAAAATCACTTGTCGTATAATCAACTGAAAATGAATATTTCATGTTGAAATGGAATAGAAACCATCGCTTCATACAGAGAAACTGCAAGTATTGAAAACAAAAAGGGTCGTTTGAGTGAGTGTTTTAATGAAAATTGACATCAAAATCGAGCTGTTATTAAATATTGGTCTTTGGAAGGCAATATGCCAACGCGAATCGAAGATGAGTTGGATTCTGTGCATGGACACTCTGCATCATCATTTACCACAGTGAAATTTTGAGCAGCTGAATTTAAACGTGGTCGTAAGAGCTTGTAAGACCATCAACATTCGGAACCACTGATATAACCTATAACTAGACTGCTAATGGGAATATTCTATCCAAACTGAATTTATGAAAACGTGTCTGCGCAATGCGCAGTAGGCTCAAAGACTGTCATTTCAGACGTTGACACAGGGCTTCGACCATTTCGTTCATAGGCGTCGTCGGCTTGATAGTTATTCGTGAAAAAATGAGGTGTTTTGTAGGAATTATTCGTTGAATCACCCAGAAGGTGTTACATTCTATAAGTAAGTCAGTTATAATTTTAAAAACATTAATATCCAATACAATTATTTCACAATTTATAGATCAGAGCCCCTTGAATTATTCACAGTAGTTACAACTTTGGAATCACATAGCTAGTACTAGTTTGATTTCTAAAAACAATTGTAGATGTTTACTAACCCAATAAGGATTCATAGAATGGGAAAACTTTAATTCCGCATAATACTATAAGTACAGAAATGAGTGTAGTACTTAGAATTGAAAAGATGATTTATAGGGGAGACCAGGGCAAGATGAAGTTCGGGGCAGCACGGGAAGTAAGCTTGTGTGCGTGAATAGTAATCGTGTTCGGAGCGGCGCCATTTGCACGAACTTCACTCTTCGCTAGTGTGTCCAAGCAGAGCAAACAGGTTAGAACTCGTTTTTGCATTGCAGAGAGAAAAAAGTGATATTGCAAGTGTTTTTACGCGATATTTGATTCGAAAACTGATGTACAGACATGTAAGTACCTGTGTTAATGTATTATTTCAATCCCGAGCTTATTATAGTAGTCCAAAACATTAAATTCAAACCAGATTTTTTCGCCGGTAAAGTTTGAGGTTAGAATTGCGTCATCTTTTTTACCTACGTGTGGATCGGGGCAAGATGATCGGGGCATAATGAGATACTATAATCAAGACTGATAATCAAGTGACTGAAAAAGGTAAAAAACAAATAAAGAAACCTGGAAAAAAGACTGCAAAGAAGATTAAAAAGACAACTGATAAGGAAAACCTGCAGAAAAAGCGTCAAACCAAAAGGTGCAAGAAGGAAACTGAATCGGAAGATAGTTCATCGCAAGAAGAGGATGATGACTGTGCTTGCATCTATTGGGGTACTCATACTCAGATTCAACCGAAGGTTGGGTCATCTGCGGCGTGTGCCACGGTTGGGCGCATAATTCATGTGCCGGAGTAGATGAGAAGATGAAGAGGCACATATTTGTGAACGCTGTCTACCCGATTAAAAAGCGTACTCGTTTTGCCCCATAGCGTTTTCCATCTTACCCCAGTTATGGGGCAAAACGGAAAATTTGCCGAGTTTATTTTTTCATTATTTGCCAAAAAAAGTTCTGTGATTTTGCATGCTACAACGTTTGATTATAAGAGAGAAATGTATAATGGTTACCTCTTTCGTTGAAGAATGTTATTAAAGAGTTCAATTTTCCTTGTATAACGAGTTTTGTCTTAGCTATCTCATTTTGCCCCAGTCTCCCCTAATGCTAAAAAAGGATTTTGGTAATAATTAGTGTATGCAAGGCTCTGGAAAGGCTATAGAACAAATGAAATTATATTTGACTGTTATTTTATTGCATTATTCTAGGAATCCTGAAGATAGATACAGTCAATGGTTAGAAGCCAACAAAAGACCATCAGATACCCTTGCACATTCTTCAAGAAGAATGTGTTTTGAAAACTTTACTCCCGATAGTTTTATACCTCTACGTGGAAGGCTCAGAACATTGAAACCTCATTTAACACCAACTTTAAAGTTGACACAGTCACAATTGTTAATTAGGTGAGTTTTTTATTAAAATTGATGAATTAAATATACAATTACGGTAATACATTTTATTGTAGTATCATTTCTAATGATGTTACATCACAATTTTCACTTGAATGGAATGAATAAAAACACTTTTGTCTAAATACCACTAGAAAATTTTATTTATACGACCGGTTTCGGGTTTGATCCCATTATCAAGTATAAAACTGAAATCTGAATTTTGAAACATCGATTTTGTAGAATTTTCAGGTATGCTGCAAGGACAGGTATTTGAGAGACATGATGCCAACTTAAAATACCATCCTGAAATTCTAGGGGTTGTTAAACTCATAAATTTAAGAGAGGAGACCTACATAAGTCAAGTTGCTCGTTTAGGGGTATATGTTTCTGGTTTTCAATTGATTTGGTAATTTCCATGACCTCCAACAGATTCATTTTTCTCCCTTTATTACATATATGTAGGATTTTGAGGTTATCTTCATTCATCTTTTGGTTTGATTCTTGAAGATGTTCGTACATTGCAGATTTTTTGTCCAAACAGACATGTTCACGCAGTCTTATTTCTAAATTTCCACCGGTTTAGCCTGTATATACTGCAGAGCATTCGCCACACTCAATTCTATATATATATATATCTGACTTTTTCATTCTATCCCGTTTGGGTTTTGCATTAAACAGGGTTCTCCCTAAATTATTTTTACTTGGGAAAGCTGTCGAAATTTTGTATTTAGAGAAATAATTTTGAATATTATCTGGAAGTTTACCTGAGTAATTGATGCTACTGTATTGACTATATTGTGTTCTCGACAGTTTGGGTATAATTAACTCATAAGTGCTTTGTGAATTTTAACTGATATTATCTTTTCTATCAAGGAAATTGGTACCTGTTTGTTCACTGCAATTTCCTTAATTATTCTTATTTCATCTTGGAAATTCTTTTTCGGTAAAGGGATTGCGAAAGCTCTGTGTATCAATGACCTAAACGCTGATAATTTATGTGAGAGCAGACTGAAAGAGTCCAGTGGTATTATGACAAAAGTGTTTTCATTCATTTCATTTGAGTGATCATGAATTACCATAAAGTAAACGAGTCATGAATCACACATATTACATCACAATCTAATTTTATTTATGTAAGTTGATATTATGTACACCAGTATTTGACGGTTGCGTGAATAAATATCAGCATGTAAAAATTGTATGATTTTACTTAGTCCGGTTCACATGTACTCGATTTAGCTCTTTTTGGTGACATTTTTCAGCCCTGTCCAAANATTTCCAAAATTTTGAAAATTTTCCGAGATATTAAGGAAAAACTAAAGCCCCATTTTTTTTTCACTTAATTGTTTATAATTTTTGTAATTTTTATCGGCGCGTTTTCGGACCTTTCCTTAAACTTTCTAGGCAAACATACGAATCGAATGAAATCTTGGTCGTAATTTTTTGACAGGGCTGAAAAATGTTACAAAAAAAAGTACATGTGAACTAGACTAACTTCCTTAGATTGTAGTTTGCAAAAAATAATATATGTTTTTGGGAAAGAAAGTTTTTAGCTTTCTACTACTCCATCTTGGTACAAAAAAGTGGGAATCTTCCAAAAAGAGAAAGGAAGCAATCAATTTTAAATGAAGTAACTCTATACATGAATGTGTAGACGTAATCCATCTTGATTTTATTCAGGTTGAAGCCTGGCCTCCTTCCCCTTTTAACTGAAGTTTGTCAGAAAGACAAACGGGTCATGACTGATGTTTGATGGTGGCATGAAAGTCCTTAGACATCCATACCGCCCTTCGCGTTATACCCCTACCTGGCTGGGGTGAGATAGATGAAGATATTATTCATCTGTTAACGGAGGACATAGGGGCCTCATTCGACAGAGTGTCGGGGCCTTCTATATCGGGAGGGGTCGTCTACAGCGTAATCTATAGCTTCCCTGACTAAAGATGAATGTGTAGATCATGCAAAGAAGTATCTTCCAGACACAAACTGGAAAAAAAGCTCTCCTAAACATTGAATTACACGAAAGAAAAAAATCTTTCGAAACAAATACTACTATATTGGAATACAAACTGAGTAGAGGAAAGTGTTTTTGTATAATTTAGTTTTCATATAGAAGTATTTGTTTTGAAAGAATTTTTTCTTTCGTGTAATTCAATGTTTATATGAAAGTAGCTGTTTCAGGGCATTTTCTTCAGTTTGTGTCTGAAAGTTACTTTTCTGCGTGATCTACACATCTATGTATACAGTTACTTCTTTCAAAATTAATTGCTTCCCTCCTTTCTTTGGAAGATTCCCACATTTTTTTGGATCAAGATGGAGAGAACGCCAAAAACTTTTGTTTCCCAAAAATTAATCATTCGTAAACAACATACAACATACTCATTTTATGAGTACCTGGGTGACCGAGCTTTGCTCGGTATTGATATTATTACTACTGGCCAACAGATATCAGGAAGAGTCATACAGAGTACCTATTATAATATAAATGTTTATTTTTGTTTCGCACATTTCTCTATGAACATAAGTATGAAAACCAAGTATTTCACTTGATATCCCTAAAAATCCTTCTTTCCTGCGATACGCCCATGTGATTTGGAAACGTCATGAAACTTCATTGCGCATGCCCTGAAGGCTCACTGAAATTTCGTAAATGGATAAAGTTTTGTTATATGGGATTAGCAGTCTAGATTAAGGTTATGTCGATGTTCGGGACGTCCAAAAACTACAAATACCCACGAAAACATCGCCAAAGTTCACCAAATGGTGGTAGACGACCGCCGAATTGAAGTGAAATAGATTGCAGAGGTTATAAACATATAAAAAGAACGCGTGAACGAATGAACTTTTCCAACGCTCTGTTGACGCAGCTTATGCGCAATAAATCCGAGTTTCGGCGCCGATTGATTACTGTAGATGAAACTTGGATACACCGAAACACCGAAACAAAAATACAGTCCAAACAGTGGACTGCAAACCGGTTCCTCGGCTGGGAAAGTAATGACAACTGTTATTTGGATAGTCATGGAGTTATTTCAATCAATGGTGAATGTAGTTCAAGTAGTTTTCATAAAACAGCTCTAAAATAACGCATTTTAAACTTATCATTTCAACCTTTTTCTTTAAAAAATTATTCAAATACTTAAAAAAGAGAAATGAAATAATGCATTCAACATTTGAAGGGATTCGTTTCTATTTCACCATTTGGCAACATCGGTTACAGCTAATAAAGGATAATGAATCTGTTACCTGTATGAGACAAACAAAAATGACATATTTCAGAGGCGTGCTTTTCTGTTCACTTATTTTCCGAGTTCCGAAACATTCTGTGATATATGATATTTTGTGCACCTAACCTATCTTCCTCTATATATAAATAAATAACAAAACAACTGTTGTTATGTGGTTTTGTGGAGGTGGTATTGAACTATAATTTATATTTTGCCTTAATTGTTAATTCATAAAGATAATTTTCCTTTTCTAAAGGAAAATATTTAGGTACGTATAAATCATTTCAACTTGATTTAGGCGCTGTTGCCGATATGTGAATTGGAAACAAATCCCTTTAAAAATTGAAACCCAAGATTTGAAACATCAATTTGAATACGATTTTCATTTATTGGAACACAGCTGCAGACCCACTCAATTTGTGAAGTTTACTGCCTTATAAGAGGAATTGTACAAATTTCAGATATGCGATTGATTACACCGTTCACAGGCAGATAGGGTGATGATAAACATGTTGTTTGTTCGCTTCAGCCTAGTTCGAGAAATGATACTCTGAAGGAATTCGATTTTCAATTATCGGAAATCATCGACTTTATGTTGAGTGGTGATTTCTGCACTGATACCTGTTGTATATAATCCAATTCCGTTCGTGGTATCAGCCAGGAGAGTAGTTGTTATCTGATAGGTGTCATTTTGTTAACCTACAGTGTAAGTGATTTGAGACTGGCTTCAACGAATTGTTCATTCAGATAATTTGCTCTAGAGCTCGTTGTTTAAATTTTTCAATGTAATGAGCCAAGAAACATGGGATAATTTGTTAGATACCGGTCGTGAAGCCTACACTCCATGAATACTAGGATTCTCAAAGAAATATATGATTTCGTCTCTAAAGGTAATAACTCTATCACTGCTTTCTTTTCTTGTGAACTGGACTAAGTTACTCACCCAGAGATCCAATGGTATTGAACAAAAAGTCGTTTTCTTGTTTGCTTTCAATGCTCACCAATCCCATGTCTAGGTTTTTACAAAAAAGCAAACCCTGTTCTTGTGTTGCCTATAAGACAGTATTATGTTATAAAAAGTTAATGAATAGTCACACGAATTGATAGTACCCAAATAACTTTCATATGTTCGTAGAGTAAGAAAATTTTTCATCTTTCAAAATACCCGTTTTCCGCAAAATTATCATATTTCATATAACTCCATTCATTCTCAATATGAGTATTTGTATTGAGTATTGAGAATTGAAATGAAATTATACCTTACTTTATTGGAAGTAGTACAGAAGTTACTAATAAAAATAATGAAATTATTAAACAACAAAAATTAATTGACGCTCCGGGGCAACTTGATTGATTCCAGTGGTGCATTTGCTTTTTCAGCTGCAGGAAAATCCGGAAAAACCTGCAGCACCACATCATCTGAAGATCCTAATCTACCAATGTCTTCTCATTCACATTACTTGCAATTCATGGAAGTGAAAATATTGTAATTTTAGGTATAAAGTTCACTGCCTTCCCAGTTTGAATGTTTTCTGTTTAGGAGTTTTTTTTTACCATTTGAGTATCAATCATAGGAAAACTTCTCAAAAAGATTTAAAATTAGTACAAAATTTTGCTGATTCACTTCTGTCATTTTGAAAACTTTGGAGGTTCACCGTAATTAGAGCATTATGCCACTATTATTTATCTCTATCATAGAAGTAACAGAATTGCAAACATATATCTGAATGAACGATCATTTCAAATTGGGATTTTTCTATTAGTTCACTCCATGGAATTTTGATTTTCATTAAACATAACAAGCCTTTTTTATAATATCCTCACCTTGGAAAATGTCTGAAAGTAGTAAGCACTCTCTCCAAAATAATATAATGGCAGTTCAGGTTCCCCACCGAATTCTGAAATAAAAAAAAGTTGAGAAAAATCCGGATACAAGACAGTTTTCAATAATTGAGCTCGAATGAAGAATTTTTTTTGATGGATTTTTCATTATATTTTGCACATTCTCCTTCCTCGAAAAAATATATATTCAGAAATCATATCAATCGTTCTCATACCTGCGGTTCAAGGCCCATAACTCCTTCAATTATATAGAAAATCGTCATGTCATGTCATGTTTTTGCAACACGCTTACCTTCAATTTTCACCAGTGCTCCATTCGCAAGGAATGTACAACAACCCAGAAGAATTATTTTAGCCAACATTTTTGTGTTACAATGCTGATAATAGAAATGATTTCCCTTTATTTATATATCCATTCTTATCTGAAGTGTTTTCAAGAAAAATGAATTTGGGGCAAATAAACAATCAGTCACCGAAAACAACTGAGCCATTTTTATCGATCGCAACAGGAAAAGTGAAGATAACTGAATAGAAGCTGCCGAGAAAAGGTATGAATCATAGAAAATCACTCAGTTGAATAAACACCTTCGATTAATTTGAATGTATTTTTGAAATTACTGTATAATTTATCAAAAGCAAAGCCAATCAGAATGAACAAATTGACAATATATTAATTTGTTTTGCAATATATCCTTTCTTTCTATGGAAATAACTTTACAATGTATCATGTACCTACACAGGTTTTTTGCTTAGGTCAGGCATACCTAAGATAATCTCAATTTACGTGAAAGAAGGACGGCACGTGTTTCGATCACCAAGTGGTCATCTTCAAGAGAAATCACTTGGTGATTGAAAAACGTGTCGAGGTGTTAAAATAACGGTTTGATGTTGGGATAAAACTTCAGTAATAGGGCAAGTCGATGCGGCGAGTGTCTTACGGCGAAACATCGGATGTCTACCAGTTAGGATGACAGTGCAATTCATTAGTTCGGACTTCCATTGTCTAGTATGATATAAATTGATTTGAAATCCTTGAAATAATCTGTAAAAAATCAAAAATAAAAAGGTTACCTGAGAAAATAACAATTATATTCAGTAAAAAAAAACTGAAACTACAATCAAATAAAATACAAGTAAAAACCAAAAAACAAAAAGTTAAATATTAACACGAAATGAAAATAAAAAAAAAAATTTAACAAGAAATGAAAATTANATAAGAGTTGGAGGAAATAATAGAAGGCGCATAGAAAAATGTGTTCGATTGGAGGGAAATTTCATAGAAGGCACGAAAATATAAAATTGTCAACAGTTAAATCATTTGAAATTGATTGTTTTGTTTTTTAATATAAAATGTGATTTTGACAGTAGTATTTCGAAAGCATTTTGAATTACATAACATTTTTTTGCCACAAAATATCCTTTTTTATTTTTGAATAATGGGGAAATGAAACCTCACTGATTACATGTTTCCGTTCCTCTTAAAAAATTACCATTTTCTCTCTTATTGAGAAGGAATAACTTTCCTGACAACAAAATAAAAAATAAATTATTTATGTGAAAACAAGAGTCGAATTTCTCTTGAACAATTTCGTTCATGTTTTGATGTCAAAACCAAAAAAAAATTCACTTCAATTATTACGGAAGATACGGGGGTGTTTCCATAAGAAATGAGACAAATTCGGATTTTTCCGGACTGACATTTTTTCAGGAAAAAAGTGTATTCGTAGTAAGTTGGTAGTCCTGATCACGAATCTGAAGGAATTTTGAGCCTATTTTGCCCCCTAATATGTTTTACCGTAAAAATGGGGTGTTCCATCGCGAGTGGCGGACAGTGTATATCACTTTGGCCAACCCCATTCAGGTGATAGGTGCATTTTGAGCATTTTCATCAGTCCTGAGAGTTTCATCGTTCTACCTCGAATATTACGGAAGATACGGGGTTGTTTCCATGAGAGGTGAGACACATTGTATAACCGGTGAAAGTGACGATCCCATTGGCAGTCCCTCATCTTGCGTAAAGAATTCGTCCTTCAGTTGGATGTAGCAGTTTCGTATACAAAATTCTAGTAATTCCATGATTACTTGTATCTATCCGTAAGTTTGATCTATCTTTCAGATCCCCATCTTCGGATAGCTTCCTCTGTATGATTTGAAGTGCTTCTTCGACAGGGACGTTGGTGTGAAGGCTTTCCACGTCTACACTGATCTGTTGATTCTGCTCTTTGACTCCGATTGTCCCTAGTAGTTCAACAAAATGCCTTGAATTTTTCACAAAAGATGATGTTTTTCCTTGCAGTGGTTTGATTATAGGTAGTAAAAATCTGGACAAGTTGTGAGAGGCTGAATCTGAGGAGTTAATGATCGGTCTGACCCGAACATCTTTCTTGTGGATTTTTGATAGTCCATATAGTCCATACAAGTGAGAGGCTTACTGTGGTGCGGTGTTAGCGATGATCTATCTTTTTCCGAAAAATAGACTGGGTGTTTTTTCAACATCTGGTACAACTTCCTTTCAACTGATGCAGTAGGGTTCCTTACGATCTTCGTGTATTTTCCTTTCTGAAGCACCTCTTCGATCTTTTGTTCGTAAAGATCAGTATCCATCACAACAGTAGCGTACTAGACAATGGAAGTCCGAACTGATTAAATGCACTATGAAACACTGTCAATCACCTTCAAACAAAGAGGATGGCAGTGTTCCATGCAGGTGAAATTTTACTTCTTTCATTAATTATATTGTGCAGGAATCCTGTGTATTCTATCTGATTCGATCCCATACGAATATTTAGAAGTTACTTCTTTGCATGATCTACACATCTTTTTTTATTATACTATATATTAACATTGTCAACTTTGATTACATGTGAGATAATTTATTTCGGATCCTTGTTTCAATTCATTAATGATTTATCACCACCTGATAATATTGAAACATAATCTTGTATTCGTTGTTACTGATATAGATATCATAAATGTCAGCTAACGAATCTATCAATGACGATAATGAATTTTTCAACTCGAACATTGTGTGGGACAAGTGATTATTGAAATGAAATGGAAGTTTGCTAATACTATATTTCATCTGGAGAACTATTCTATTTCCCCAAATTATTCTCCGCTTTTCGTCTGCTGTTACGGTGTCAACATGGGGATACATTTTTTTACTTTTTTCAAAACAATATATAACTTTTGTAACAATACGAATTCACTGTCATTGTTGATTATGCTTCCCATGTGGAAGTTCCGAAAAACAATGTCGTAAGTAATCGATCCATTATTTTTCTAGATAATGTCGAGCAATTATTATCTCTGATATATTAAAAATAGAAGATCACCGTTCAAAAATTACTCAGTTTTGATAATTTCTTGATTGTTCAAAAGTTTTGAGATTGATGAGTGGTGAAACATACATTGATGTTTTGCATGACAGATGAGATAGAAAATTCATATACTGCTTGTAATTTAATACTGACAGATCAGAATCAGTGGTATTGATATAAGTGAATGCAAAATGCAACGAATTGAGTGACTAAGAAATGTCTCGCCATCTTTCATTCAAAAAACTCCATCTATCGGTAGAAACTCAAACCATGCTTATCGAAAATGATGCTATTGAGGTTTTTCAATATTGTGATTTTTTGTCTCATTTCAGTTCATTACTATATGATGTCGTTGAGCGATTTTTGGACAATTTTTCTCTACGAGTTCAAATTGCACTAAAATTAACCAGGCGTTTGGCAATGATAGTGTTAGTGAACGCACTGTTCGACATTGGTTTGTAAAATTTCGTTCCGGAAACTTCAGCCCCGAAGATGAGACCCGAAATGATCGACCTACGGTAATCCAGTACGAGGATCTGAGGGTCTCGGTGAAGACTGACCCATCACAACAGTGGCGGATTAACTCATTTGCCTCCAGTAGGCTATACAAATTTTGCCGTCCCTTTCTCACCTCTGCATTTCGATACCCTGCACGGACAGGGAAAGAAACTGATGATGTGCTTATGTTTTTAATAAGAATAATTTAGGAAACATGTTATTCAACGCAAAACCCAAAAGAGATAAATGGAAAAAAAGGGGAATATATAGACTAGAAAGGGGGGGCTGCCCAGCAGCTTATACAGGTCAGACAGGCAGAAACTTCGACATAAGATACCGAGAACATGTATTATCAGATAAAAAATCAGCCATTTATGGAAACATGAAAATTCTTCATACATGTAACAAAGGAAGGGAGATGAATTAATGCAAGCGTTGGAAATAAATAAATTGTACAAGGACCCCAAATTCAAAACTCTCAACGACCAACTAGATCTATGCAGCTCGCCCCTTTTGAATTTAGGAATTTTAGGATCCATCCAATAGTTGGTAATCGTGACATATTGTAATATTGGTAACGTGTTAGGTCGGGTACCTAGAGCAGATATCTGTCCAAACTATTCAAGACGCAACTTGACAATTTGTGGAATACACATCCTAGATGCGTGAAACCTAGGAAAAAGCTCCCCTTTCCCCCAGCCAGACTCCTGGGAGCGATGGAAGACCCACCGGAGCCGATCCAGGACATCCTCTAGGATTTCCCACTGGGATACAGATAGCGGATACCTGACAGCAGCGTCCCGGAAAGAACCGAAATTCTAAACACTCACAACCCCGGCCCAAAAACCCGTACCGAGTCTCAACATCTGGACCACCGACTACCGCAACGAACCCGGACTACCACATGGATCAACATAAAAAACAATGAAGAAAACTGGAACACAAAAACAACACAACACAAACACCAATACAAAACACACACACAACCTACCCACCCTGAAGAGGCATAAGCCTATAGCAGGGTCCTACACAAACACATACACACACAAAAATTGTAAATAACTGTAAAACTTGTAATATACGATTTTCATTCATTCATTCAATTTGTGGAAGTTACTTGAAAATGGCCTTATAAGCCGAAACCGGTCGTAACGAATAAATAAACACAGTAGAAACTACACATAAGTATTTTCTTTATTCTATATTCAACATGGATTTCTACAAAATAAATAAGCCATCAACCGAACGAATTTATTCTATATAATTATTTCAAATCACTCCTTAAGTTGTTACCATTATTTTTTAACATGACACTTGACACATCCTGTCTAAGTTGCCCTTCTTTCATATAATACTTTTAGTGAACCACATGGCCTCAATCCAATAATGTATATCTTGGTTATCTGCCTATTTTGTTTTATATAAGTCAAATATTACAAATGTGCCATGTACTCATTTTGATACTTCTTGTTGCCTGACAAGTAACTAATCATAATAATTTTTCAAATTTCATAAATAAAAAAATCCAAATTTTGAATTTCATAAAACTTTCATTTCAATTGGATCACTTATTTTCAGGTGAGCACTGATGATGACGAAAGTCGAAAGCGCTTTGCAATAATTTTATAATAATACACTTTCATACAAAACCTCTTTGATTCATTAATTCAATAAGTGTATTCAGCTTTCCAGATATATTTATTATTGAATAGTTTTCAATGAAATTTTTGAACGATTTTTGAAACGATTGATCGCCAAATATTGATTGATAAGTTGAAAGCCATAGGCATACTAGGTACTGTATTGTTGAAATGGATCAGGGACTCCCTAACAGATCGCAAACTTATCACCAAAGTGGAAAATGTCTCCTCGGTTCCCATCACCAATAACATCGGTGTACCACAGGGAAGTGTTTTGGGTCCTTTATTATTCCTATACTATATCAATGATATACAATAATATCATGACTGTGATTTTCTCAATTTATTCGCAGATGACACGTTACTGTCAATCTCAGGCAATGATCTGTATGGTACTATCAACAAGATGAACGATTCCCTATCAAAACTACCAGTATATTTATATCAATATTAACAAAACGAAACTCAGTGTGACAAAATGTAAGGCAGTGATCCTAACTACACCCTTTAAATACAAAAACATCAACTCAAACCAACTCAATATGGAAATAGATAACAATAAAATTGAATTCATAAACCAGTTCAAATATGACAATAGCACTGCAACAGGTGGCGGACTGAATGACTGAATGACTGTTTCTGTCTACAAAAATTTATTGAATATTGTTTTTCAATCTTTTGATTTGTCCAATAATTATTTGATCACAATATGTTCACTCGTTTATTCAATTTGCCACATAGTCATCAACGATTACTCGATTTTTTTTACTTTTCCTTCGATTCGACCACAGATTAATTATTATTGAATAGTTTTCGATGGAATTTGACATACCACCATTTGAGAGGGGGCCGAAACTAATGGTGATTTGAAATTTCTATTAAAAAAATCGTTCATACGATTATTTGTATTTAACCTATGAAAATGTTCGCAGCTGGCCTTGATTTTTGTAGAAAGAAAACTATATTTGATCTCAAAGTATGGTTTTTTTGAACTCTATATTCCAAAATGTTTTTGGAAATCGGAGGTGTCCCGCTTTCACCTGTCACACTGTATAAGTTGTAAGGATTGTTTATACTTGCATTATTATAACTGAGTAAATTCGAAGAATGATTCATTGATTGTTTTTTCTGGGGAGTGTTGAAGAATCGATATACTGACCTAACACTTCACCTTTTGTTTTGCTGTTTTTTTAAGGATAAGCTTCACATTTCTGTAATTATTTCACTAGAAAACAATGAACAATTCATTATCATTATTTTTATTCAGAAATGTACTTCTCCGAAAATATATCTTGTGAAAGAAATTAAAAAATGCAGTAGTTGAGTACTTTCGTTTTGGGAGAGTAGAATATCAAGCCTATTTTATTCATATCTTGACCAAAATCAATATTTTTGCCAACTCAGGCGTAGGCGACTGAAAGTAATTTTATGATCAATGGTTGCACTTTCAATTTCAGTCCTTGTAAACTGTTCATTAAGAATAACTTTCCACCCGAAAATCGCTAATATAAAGTGTTCCATATGGTTCAAACTTTTTGAGAAATACTGTGTAACCCTTTTGATCAGCTATTCTCTTACGAACGAGAAACTTTCACGATTCAATAAATGATGTAGTGTGTGTCATCATTTTGCCTAAGATTCCTGGCAGAGAAAAATACGATAACTTCTTCTAAAAATATATTTCAAATATCATTTGTCAGTATAGCAAGCTATTTTTTTAATATGCTGAAAAATAAAATCACGAATTAAAATCAATAAACTAGTTCACTTTTACACACTTCTATCTAAACATTGAAACAAGTAAAATTATTCCTAGAGATTGAATAAAAAAATGGAAACAATCGTTGAATAACTTCTGGGGATAAAAATGGGGAAGCACGAACAGCATTGACAGCTGAAACCCTTAATGGAGATTGTAATTTAATTCTTGTATACAGTGTGACCTGATCCTTGTCAATACTGTAGCCTTCAATTGTTCATCTTTAGCAAGAATATCCATCGCTTCGGCTGCATCTTTGAGTTCAATTTTGGTGAAGAAGCAACTAATGGAACCCACCAGTTTTTTTTTCTGGGTGTCATTTATATTCGTTTCAATGACTTCTGCTAGTGGAACAATTGGTTCCGCTTCCATTGCTAGTGCCATAGCCATGCCCAAAGTGGCTCCTGAAAAACAAAGAAGTAATAAGTTAAAAACACAAAAACCCAAAACTTCTTCACAGCCGTGTACAGCTAGAACAAAGAAATTGAAGCAAATTCAGAATATTTTTAAAATGAAGCAAAATCGAAATCCAAGCAAAATTGAAACAACAGTTAATTTGGAATGACAATTTGTAGATGTCAGCTTTTGCAACTATGCGACGGAGTACACCAAGGCTCGATACTTGGTCTATTCCTCTTTTAAATATACATCTGATTTTGGTTTTATTTTTGAGAATTGTCACATTCATCAATATGCTGATGAATCTCAGCATATTGCAGAAAATTTATATAATTATTGATGATTTGTCAATTCTTCCTCGCATAATTTCAAGTTGAACACTTCCGAATTCAAATTAGTTTTTTTGGCCAAAAAGTAAACGGGAACTTGCAATGACACGAGTCGATATTAATCTACTATTGTCAGAATATGAAAAAACCTAATTCTCTGGTTAGATAGCGACATGAAATTTACAAATCATGCAGAAATACTATCTCTCTAGGAATAATTCTAAAGCAATGTGGAAAACCCTAAAATCTTTGGTTGATACAAAAACTAAAGTCCCTTGTTTTGATACTGGAATATAATGTGAGTGCAATGGTGTGCCATGGAGTTATTCAATACGTATTTCGTTAAACGTATTGAAGAAATATTAAACTCAATTGAAAAGGCCCCAAAATGGAATAGCCTCACTTCTGTTAACAGTCACTTTTCTGAATTCAAACAAATTCAATTACCCGAGCTTTCCACAATTATACATGAACTGGAAAATAAGACTGCTAGTGAAATCATTGACATTGAATTCATAAAACAGACCTTTGGAGTAATTGGTCATATATTATTACACTTTATCAATATCTCACGATTTCATGGCACATTTCTAAGTCAGCTGAAAACAAGTAATTGAATAGAACTGGTCGATACTTGATGAAAATCCATATTTAAAAAACTAAAAAACATAACTAAAAAACTATGATTTTCACTATAAGTGAAAATCATAGAATAAACTCTATTGGTTAGTTTTTTTTTTGAAACCCTATTCAGAAGGTGGCAAACACTAGCAAAGCATGAGAGTTCAGACAAATCAATACATTACCTGGTATAGAAAAAGTGCTGTAGATATTGTTTACCAACAACTACTTAATTATCTGAATAAAAATAATTTGTTAATGACTTATCAATCAGGATTCAGACAGAATCATTTATGCGAAGCATCACTACAGTTAACCATAACAAAATGGAAAAAATCAATTGACAGTGGTTATTGTGTAGTTGCAGTTTTTAGGGACTTGAAGAGAGCTTTTGAAACGATTGATCGGCAAATACTGATTGATAAGTTGAAAGCCATAGGCATACAAGGTACTGTATTGAAATGGATCAGGGACTACCTAACAGATCGCAAACAGATCACCAAAGTGGAAAATGTATTCTCGGTTCCCATCACCAATAACTTCGGTGTACCACAGGGAAGTGTCTTGGGTCCTTCATTATTCCTATACTATAGTATATAGTATAGGAATAATATAGTATATTTATATCAATATTAACAAAACTCAATGTGACAAAATGTTAAGCAATGATCCTAACCACACCCTTTAAATACAAAAACATCAACTCAAACCAACTCAATATGGAAATGAATAACAATAAAATTGAATGGCCTGCTATTCGAATTTTTTTTCTTTTGGAAAATTTTGAATTACCCCCGTATGATACATATTTTTACTATTTTGATTTAATATGTATTTAAAGTGGCCACAATCGAATCAGTTTGCTTGAATTTGTATTTTTTTAGGTGACCGTTAACTTCATATTTGTTGCAACGATATTTAACAGAACTTTATCATAAAACAAATATTCTTTTTACTAACTGAATGTTCATATGAATAAACTGTCATTAATAGTATAAAATTTCTTTTATTCTGACAACAATGCCTCAACTAGAACAGATATTAAAAAACAATCCAAAATCTATAGTGGATAGCCATGAACAAAAGGGGTGGAAAACGCAACCCCTAAAATTAATTTCGAATGTAATTTTTTGTCTCATCATTTGTTTACCATTTAAAAATTTATTTCCGATAGCCTGTTTCATTCTTAACAAAAAATGTCTCCTGGGTTTTTTGCCCAAAATAAACCAGTTCGCAGCAAAAAAATATTTTAAGAACAACGCTGCACGGCCCATAATTTCTTAACTTTTTCGAAAAAGTCAAAAAAGCAGGGGGGATGCTCTTCCCCCATCCCCCCACATAAAGACGGCTCTGTATACGTCATTCTAAATATGTCCCAATAATTGCAATTATATTCAAAATTATTCAGTTTTACAAGAAACAGGAAATCTCAGATTGTTTTTTCATTTAATAGGTGAAGAAAGATTAAAAGTACAATAAACTACGCTTTTTGTTATGGTATATTTTGGAATAGTGAAACACAAACCGACAATGTGCAGTTGGTGACATTCCCGGTGACGAAGTCATTTCGAGCTCTAATAATTATCTTCCAGACCTGAATATACAGGGTGGCCCAAACAGAAACACCCAAACGGCTTTTTTTATAGGAGACCTCAGGACCCTCCAGAATCATCGCTTTGTATGTAATACAAGTTTCTGTAGTTTTAGAGTTATTTATTTTTAATATTTCCATGAGAATTTCCGACCGGACGGGCATTAATATTTTTGGAAGTATTTTCAGAGGAGTATTTTTCAGCATTTTTACTTTATGAACTATTTTTCAATACACAAAATGATTGGCTCTCTGAAATTACAGTGAAATACGAATATTTTCATCAATAATAAAAAATACACGTTGGAACAAGGTAAAGTTGAATAATCAAATCTGAATTGCAAGTTTCTACAAAATATTCATCAGTTTTTGGATAATTTGAGAACTTTTCGGGACACTAAGTTTGCAAACACCAACAAGTGGTACAAAATAAGCTATTATTCGCTGAAACAGGCCTTCCAGAAAACTAAAATGGAAATTTTCAGAGATGATTATTGATTTTTCAAACAATATTTATGCTTATTTTATCATTCTCAATTCAATTCAAGTAATATGACACGTAATGAGAAGTTACCGATCGCGAAAGAGAAGAACCTAAAGGCTGACTTTCGACCAAAAGAGGTCAGATGTCAATCTTGCTGAAGTGCCCATCAGTAAGTTGAGGACCGCTCGGAGAGCGGGGGTGGATGGAGTGGGGTAGTAGGTTCTCCTCGCTAAATAAATGGGGGGGGGGGAAGCTCCTACTTCAGAGTACTCAACCCGAGAGGGTAATGAGAACAAGCATAACGTAAAATCCTCCAATCGAATTTCAGTTTCAGTGAAGAACAATTCATATCCTATCTTTTATTCAAGATTTTCTTTGTTTTCACACATCACTGCTTCAAATGCTGTTGTTTTCTCGAAGCAATTCAGGAACTAAGGAAGAATAATAATATTTGATAAAAAATATGTCATATTTTTAAAATTATCGAAAATATGATCCATTTTCCAGAGAATAGCAGGATTTTTCGATATCTCGATCACCCTGTATGACTGAAGAATAGAACTGGATTCTTTAGCATAGAATGATTCCAAGTCACGTTAGTTCACGACGTTTCGATTGTTGGTATCAGCTATTTGGCTATTCATTTTTGATTCTTCTTTTCTAGTTGTTTCAGGGATTTCAAATCATTTTATACAGTAGACAATGAAAGTCCAAACTAGTGGGATAAATTATTAATCTATGGAAATTTCTGCCTTCGTACCTTTTGAAGCGATTGACAGCCTATCAATTATCAACAATTTTGCGAGACCTTCAACATTTAAAGTTCTGCGAGGCTTGTTCTAACGTCAATTTTTTCATATCAAAGAACATTTTTGAACCTCACTGTGATTTTAGATAGTTATTTCATAAATGGGAACCAAAGTGATATGTTTTTTGTAACAAAAAAAAATACGAAAAACTGCAAATTCTCTTAGATACATCAGTAAATTGATAATGCAAAAACTACCATCACATACATGGAGGTAATTCTGATAGGCCCTGAAGTCTTCTCTTTGTAAACGAAAAAAATTTCAGCAAAACTGTATCTGTTTTCGAAGACGACACATTCAAGCCTGATAATACAGCTCACTTTTTCAATACGGGAGGAGTTAACTCACCTGATCTGAAAGAAGTTCTTGCATCGGGCATTACATCTATGTTCGTGATTCCTGTAATGGCCGCTCTTCTTTTACCCTTTAAATTTGCTTCTTTCATCAGTAATACGCACAATTCCAGTAAAATGCCGTTCTTGCCAGTCAACATTCCAGAATGTGAGGAAGCTGGTTGCGTATTTCTCTCCATATCTTTTGCTGTGTAACAGTGAACCAAACGAATCGCAAGTAGGTCACAAAAACTATCAGTGTCGATTTTTCTAGAGCCGAAGGTATTCTGCTTGCTGGGTTTCAACTGACGACTGAAGGTATAGGGCAGTTCTTTTAATTTTCACAGCAAGTAACGATGACGGTATTTCTTATGAGCAGAAAAAAGGATGTGTTTCTTGCCGACGGCACAGTTGTCCCAGTAAAGGGAACGAATGAACCAAACCTTGAATATTATAACAAGGTGGACCGAGAAAAGAAAGCTGAAATAGGCTCATACTGATCGAATACATAAACATTCACCGACAGAATCAATTCAGGGGGACTATACTGGATATATTGTGGCTTTCTTGTTCAAGATAGAGAAAACGTTTTTATATATAGTCCGGTCATTATACAATATTGAATTAACGAAAATTGTGACAGAGCTAAATTTTGTTGAAGACCTTCATTTTACCATAAAAAATGAAAATTCGAGAATCCTAATCTTTTCCATGAGCGCTTCTAAAGTTATTCGGGGTCAAAGTTTTATCGAAAAAATACATCAGACCAAAGTTGTAGACCTCAGCGATCTTCACAGAAATGGTCTTCATCATTTTTTTCTGTAAGTATCATCGTTCCTGAGATATAGCTATTGTAAAAGTCACGTTTTATGTAATATGACAAATTGACGGTTGAAAATATTGAAGTTAAACAAGCTCAAAATGACGCAAATGACATTCTTCAAAAAGTTCATCAGCTCATCCAAAATCCCGAAACTATATTTTATTTTTACATGCGATAACCGGTTGTAATACTACATAGGCAATGTACAGAAGGGGCAAAAATTCAGTTTTTGAATTATTTGAAAAAAAAGATTTGATTGACTATACGGAAGTCTTTACGTGCATTGATTCTCCACCTCAGACAATTATCACGAAAGGAATTCGATTTCTCCATGCCATTTATGGCGCTCCGAAAAAAGTAGATTGCATTGATAAGTACAGATATTTAACCTCTGTCAAAATACCCGAAACAAGAAGCAAGTACAACTATCTTGTCTTCCTCCAACATCGGCATCTGCTATTCAACACTTGTATCGGGTATATTATCAAGTTCAGACATGGCAACAAAATCAACTTAACCCTGAAGACTGGGGTTGGAAATTAATAAATAATACTATGGCACCAATTAAAACTTTGCTTCCCCCCGCTCCTGAAAAACTCCCTAACACAATTTTTTGCAAATGCGGTTGTAGGAAAGTAGGGTTACAGTGTTCACCAGCGTGTACCATTGCCAAGGTCACTCTTGTTCAAATGTTCAGTGGAGTACAACAGATGATTTATGTGATGTTGATGAAGAGACAACTGATACATCATTATTTTAACAATTTATGAACATCTGACAAGAAGAGAAAGAAGACGAAGAAGAAATCGCAGAACTAATGATTGTTGAAGTTGACTATGACGAGTTTGAATCAGATCAAAGTATCATGAGAAATCAAACTGACAACTACACTCCATAAACATTATCAACCCGAATAATCTTCATGCAGTTAAATAATAAGTATTGTGACTGAAAATTAAGTTATAACGTTTTGTGGAATAGGCCTACTGGGGAAACCACGTTGAAAAAATGCACTACCTCACAGTGGTGTGGAAACGTGTGCATATTAAATAGAATGTGACTTTTACAATTGCGATATCTCAGGAACGGTGATACCTACAGAAAAAGTTATAGAAACTATTTTTGTAGAGAATTTTAGGGTCTACAACTTTGGTCTGAAGTATTTTTCTGATAAAACTCACGGTTTTCGAGAAAAACTCAAAATTGGCTTTAATTCCAGCGTCGCTCATTTAAATACCATTTTTGTGGAACGATTTATTTTTTCCCTCAAAATTGGTCTCACTTTCAGCAATAACTTCTTCATACGAGCAACATTTCTTACTTGTGAGCATTTTTTTGAGATCTGCGAACAGTCAGTAGTCGCTGGGAGTCAAATCTGGCGATTACGGTGGATGTGGAAGCAATTCGAAACTCAATTCATGTAGTTTTGCCATTGTTTTGATTGACTTGTGACATGGTGCATTGTCTCGATGACACAATTTTTTTTCTTTGCCATACGCGGTCTTTTTTTGCAATTTCGAAACCGAACGATCCAATAATGATATATGACTGCATTGTTGATGGTATTTTCCTTCACAAGATAGTCGATTAAATAATACACTACGCACATCCCAACATACCGAGGCCAGAACCTTTCCTGCCAATTGTTGTGCTTTCGGGAGTTTTGGACGGAGTTCACTATTTGCTTTCTACTCATATGACGATCGTTTTGATTTCGGAGTGAAGTGATGGATCCATGTTTCACCCATTGTCACATATCGACGCAAAAATTTCGGTTTGTCATGTTTGAACATGACCAAACACTGATCAGAATCATCAACATTCATCAACAGAATAGTCAACAGTGAGCTTGCGCGGCACCCATTTTAAACAGTTACAATGTCAGTTAACTCACGCAACTTCACTTATCGATTATTCAAAACGATTTTGTGGATGCCTTTTATGTTAACTGGTGTTACTGCCTCAAATTGGACGTCCACTGCATTCTGCATCATCGGTATCTCTACGACCACGTTTGAGGTCAGCAAACCAATGTTTAATTGTAGTTTCTGATGAAGCGGAGTCCTTATAACACTTCTCAAGTCATTGCTTCGCTTGAACGGTATTTTTTCCCATCAAGAAGCAGTATAAAATTAAAACACGAAATTGTTTTTGATCCATTGTTTTGAAAATAACAAAAGCACTGTCACTCTTAGCACAATAAGTCACAAACTTATGAGTTATAGAAATAAGTACTCACATCAAGGGTGTTCACCAAACGTGGAACTCAACAAAATTTGTTACTTTTGAATAGAACACAAAATACATTTCTACACGATTATTCGATGAAATGATGGAAAAACTGAAGGCTAGGCCACCAAAATAAAACTCACAGTCATGAAATCAAAATAACATTTAGGTGTCATATTTTTTGAATCATACGTTATACCTCTCTCACAATTTCAATCAGTTATTGCTCTAATCAAATTGAATCAATGGATTCAAATTCGATTGTGATTAAATATTAAAACTTTGCATGATTGATTCTGAAAGAAAATTCATAAGTGACTAGACCTTAACTTTACTGTTGAGTCGAATTGACTGAAAATAGTTCATTGAATAAAAGAGGTCCCAATACAGTTCCCTGAGGTATGTCATATTCAATCTCTTTCAGATCACTCATTGTGTCAGACACCTTTACCTATTGGCTTCTATTTTATGGTTAATTTTTGGAACTAGATTTACATTGAATTTTTTATTAGCAGTACCAACGCCATTAGGGTTAAATGATAGATATAGTTGTGTGTCATGCATAAAAAAATTAAACCAACCATAAATTTCAACAAAACTATTCCAACCTGATTCATCACGGACCAATCGATTGATATACCGTTATTTAGAGTATTTAAAGCTAATTAATCATGTACAGTTCATTTATTATGAGAAGATAAAACGCGAAGTTCAATTTGCATGATGACAAGTCATCATTCAATTGCTCTTCCACTTAACCTCAAATAAATCTCAAATACATACTCAAATAAAGCAGCCATCGCCTCTCGAATTTGTGTATGGAAATTTCTGGATAGATATTGGAAATGTTCTTCTTGATTAGTGAAGTGGGAGACTTTTTACGATTTTCTTTATGTGGTGGAAGACAAAAGCATCTGTATGCAAAACAAAGCAAATAATCTCAGAGATCTAACGAATTGGTCTGAATGCATTCATCTATAGCTTTGCTCAAAGCTTCTGCAGCACACATTCTTGCTCCTTTGGGAATTCTCTTCAATATGTGAGAATGAAGTGTGTATGAAGAAAGTCTATTATTGATAGCTTTGCATCAGGTTTGGACTCATTGTACATGTTTGGATGGAAGAGAAAAACGTTGTTGACTCAGATTTATGAATTTTTGAAAAGTGGATTCTCAAACCTTTTGCAGTTTTGAATTTCTTATTGCAATATGAATTGTAAAAATAACAATGATGGAATGAATGAAATATTGAAGTTTGATATGATTTGTTTCCATTTGATTCGTTTATTTTATTCGTTTTAAAACTGTTTATTGAATTATTTTGAGAATATTCTTTTAGGACGAAACTGTAGTAATGTTAGTTACGAACAAAGAAAGTTTCAATTCTCATTTTTCATGAAAGTCTCCTATCATTTAGTAATGGGTACATCCATCAATTCAAAACTTAAAACTTTACGATTCAAGAAATGATATAGTGTCACCTTTTTCCGTAACGTTTCTGAAAAAAACAGATATTATTTAAAAGAAATATTTCGAATATCAATATCAATCTTGAGCAAAATCAATATTTTTTGCCAAACCTCGTAGGCGACTGAAAGGAATTTCAGTCGCCTACTTTCAATTCCAGTCCTTGCAAACTTTTCATTAAGAATTACTTTTAACTCAAAAATCGCTAGTAAAGAGTTTTCCATATGGCTCCAACTCTTTGAGAAATACTGTGTAACATTTTTGAGCAGCTGTTCTCTCACGAACAACAGCTTTTGAAATTTGAAACTTTCATGATTTAAGAAATGAAGTAGTGTCTACTTTTTCCGGAAGATTCCTAGCAGAAAAAAAAACAGATAATTTTTCCTAAAAATATATTTCAAATATTCATTTGTCAATATAACTATATTACTTTTTCGATATGTTGGAGTATAAAATCACAAATTAAAATCAATAAACTAGTTCACCTTCATACACTGTTTAAACATGGACACGAGTAAAATTATTCCTAGAGATTGAATAAAAAAATGGAAACAATCGTTGAATAACGTCTAGGGGTAAAAACGGGAAAGCACAAACAACATTGACAACTGAAACCCTCATTCGATGGTGTAACCCAATATTATTTTGAAGTGCGACTTGATCCTTGTCATTACTGATTCTTTTAATGTTTCATCTTTATCAAGAATATCCATCGCGTCTACTGCATCTCTGAATTCAATTTTGGTGAAGAAGCCACTAATGGAACCGACCAATCGCTTTTTCTGGCCTTCCGTTAACTTCGCAGTGATGACTTCTGCGAATGTTACAATTGGTGCCGTATCCATTGCTAGTGTCATAGCCAGACCGAAAGTGGAAGTGGTTCCTGAAAAACAAAAAAGTGATTGGTACTCACTTCTCCACAGCCATGTATAGTTTGAACAGAGAAGCTGAAGCAAATTTAGAAGAGACGTTGCAGTAAACTAGAGATGTGCCGATTAGTCGGCGAATAATCGCCAGAGAGCGCCGACTATCCCGCTTCCTAACTTCATATGTAATGAGTGAGTTTTTGCTGGTATCTTTTTTGGTAACACTGTTTTTGACAGATCACGCGTGAATCGTGTCTTCTGTCATTGTCAAACTTGTACAATTTGGTCTATAATTTAACCATGAATCGACTTACGAATGAACGCTTGCAACGCTTGCAAATCATTAAATTTTATTATCAAAATTCATGCTTGGTGAAGAAAGTGCATCGTGCACTTCTTCCAATTTATGGGCAGTTTCGTCTGCCTACTGAAGGAGCTATTCGGAAACTTGTGACTAATTTCGAACCCAGTTTACATATTTGGACATTGAACCACCAACACGCATACGTAGAGTGAGGACCGAAGAAAATATTACGGCTGTATCTGCCAGTGTTCGTGATGACCGTGAAATGTCGATTCGCCGCCGTTCGCAGCAATTGGGCCTCTGTTACTCCACTACGTGGGAAATTTTGCGAAAGGATTTGGGTGTAAAACTTTATTCATTCCCAAAATTATTTTTATTTTTTGATCAAAAGCAAACAAACTTTTTATTAAACAGAATATACAACAGAATATAATTTGATGTGTTATCTCTTTTCAGCAACATACCTTCAGAACTAGTTGAAAAAGGAATATTAAAAAGATGGACCGATATAAAAGAAGTTGTGAAATTAGCCAAAACAAATTTTTTGAAATAACTAAATTCATTTTCAATTCAAGTTACTTTTCATTTGAAGGACATTTTTATAAACAGATCTTAGGTCGAGTGGGCTGAAGTCGGAAACTGAGAGGTTCATCATGGCTTGCCAGGATGGTGTCTTCAACACCTTAGTCTACCGTAGTCGCGTGATGGGTACAGAGGTTCCTGACACAAGGTGCAGGAACTGCCGCGAGGCCTTAATGCACTTGCTATCTGCATGTCCAGCATGTATGTGAGCTTGGCTCACCGACCATGATTCATTAGATTAGAAAGTAAAAGCACCTAGACCTTGAGGCTGACTTTCGACCAAAAAAGGTCAGATGTCAATCTTGCCGAAGAGCAAGTTGAGGACCGCTCCGGAGGATGGGATGTTCTGCACACAGTAACCGTGTGGGGAAGATCTCCATTCAGGACACTCAACCCGGGAGGGGGCATGGGGGGGCACGACACAGTCCGGCAGTTTTACGTGGGGGTAATTTTGATAGGTCTTGAAGTCTTCTATCTGAAAAACACCAATTGGTCCACCATGTATCAACAGAAATTTCAGCAAAACTGTAACGAATCACTAAGACGACCCATTTAAAAAATATTCGAGTCTTGTAATACAGCTCACTTTTCTTTTTCAATTCGGATGTTTCAATTCGGTCACCCTCTGGGTATGTAACCAATATCCAAAAAAATAAAATAATCCTTCACATCCAGTGAACTCACCTGACTTGGAAGAAGATTTTTCATTGGGCAATTGTTCGATGTTCGAGATTCCAGTAATGGTCGCTCTTCTTCTGCCCTTCAAATTTGCTTCTTTCACCAGTAATACGCATAAATCCAGTAACATAGCGTTCTTGCCAGTCAACATGTGAGACGTTTGTTTTGTTTTATTCTCCATATCTTTAGCAGTGTGTGACAGTAAACCAAACCAATCACAAATAGGCCACAAAAACTTTTCTATATATATTGAAATAAAACTACTGTCTTTATGTCTATAGCCGAAGATATTCTGATTGCTGGTTTCAACTGACGAAGGTATAGGTCGATTCTTTCAATTTTCACACCAAACAGCGATGACAATATTTCTTATGAGAAGAAAAAAAAGAATGTGTTTCTTGCCAACGACAAGGTGGACCGAGGAGAAAAGTGAGCTGAACATAGGCTCATCCTGACTGAATACATTAACATACACTGAAAGAATCAATTTGAGGTAATTATGCGGGGCAGAAAATTCATTAAACGATTAATAGAAAATAAATTTATTGAAAATATCAAAAATATAAATTGACAAAATATTCTTTCCGACAGTAGTTTAGCAAACACCACTGAAAGATTTGTGAAGATTTTGCAAAATGTTGTTGATCAATGTACAAGTTATAAAAAAATGAAAAGAAGGATAACTAAAAAAATAGATTTCAGATAACTATTGCGAATCTGTGGAGGAACATGAATTAAATGATGAATGAGAATGAAATTAAAAGAGATGGTAATAAGTTCATAGAAAGTGAAGATGGAAATACAACTCATGATATAGAGAGCAGATACATTCAAGAATACGTATATCAACACGGGTACAAATCTATCGAAAGCAATTAAAATGAACTCACCATAACTTTGTGAAAAATATGAATCCAAAAATTATATATTCCTCAAACCCACCACCACCAGCTTTTAACAGGTGATGATCAACTGTATTGCCAAACATGCGCCAAACTAACTGACTATTATAAGAAAACAAGTATAGCTGAGGCACCAGTCAATCTAATAATGACACTGATGATCTTCAAACATGACTCAACCTATGACAGATGCGCCAAACGAAAGTTCGAAATAGATGAACTCTTCAGTCTAGCAGATCACTATTATAATCTTCATGCAGTTATTGTTGTGGTTCTGATGAAACGGACTGGTTTAAGTTTGACGATAGTCTTGTCACGAAGTGTACTGGCGATGTTTTGAATTTATTGAAGCCTCTGGAGACACACTACATTGTGTTTTATGAAAGAGAGGACACTGGTAGATAAAGATCTTCAGATGATGTGGTGCTGCAGGCTTTTCCGGGTTTTCTAGCAGCTCAAAAAACAATCAAGTCGCCTTGGAGCGCCAATTACTTTTTGTTGTTTCATTTGTATTCAGAAACTGTATTATTCACCCAGGATTGAAAACGGCAAAAGTGAAACACCGAAACTGGTTGTACAATATATTGCGGAATCCATATCACAAGTTTTCAATCGAGTACTTGATTAAAATAGGGCACTTTCCGTCATGTCTCCAAGGTGGGAATAGAGACGAAGTAATTAACTATAGACCAATATCCCTAATAACTAGTCTTAGCAAGATTTTGGTAAAATCGTGGATAGTAAGACTAAATTCCTTTCTTGAAGATCACAAATACTGTTCGATTCACACCTTGGATTCAGAGACGATAGAAGTTTTATCAGGATGATGGAATTCCTTCAATAATATTCATATTTGAATATAAAAACATGTTTTTGTAATATTCACCAGAAAAAGTTGGAAAAAACTGTTACTCCGTTGATCACGTGTCGCTCCCCTACGAATGACAACCCTCAGAAATCGAAACTTGTGCGAGCTGAGGATTAACGAGGTCTAACCTTCATCTAGCGCGGGTTGGAAGATAAGCAATGAAAATTGATTGTTTAGCCTCTAGGCTCGAACCACCACGAACCATCGTTTCTAATGTGGGTTTTCTAATTCTCAATTTCGCCTCCAGGCACAAATAACCGGTTTATGCAACAATACGAGTACTCAGGTTTATTTTGGTTAATATAATTCTCATTTTCAGCTATTCATTTTTAATTCTTCTTTTTTAGTTGTTTCAGGGATTTCAAATCATTTTATATAGTAGACAATGGAAGTCCGAACTAGTGAAATCCAAAGAATATGTACACCTTACAAAACTCTTTCCAACTATCATAGTAGATACAAATTTTGAAATTTCCGTAGTTAAAGTTAGCTGTGAATATATAATAAGCTAGTGGTTATTGATTGAAAGTGAGCCAACTTTGTAGACATAGTTCTCAGTCCCTAATCTTAGTCAACCAAGCTTCCGTGTTATTGTCGAACTATTAGTTCTTAGTCTCAGTCTTGGGACCTGCCTAGGAACCCATGCGACTGTATTCCACGCGGAAATTTATGCTATTGTGTGCGGGGAGATTGGAAGAATTCAATCTCATACACAAGTCAATAAAAATATTCTTGAACAGTCAAACGGCGTTGGAAGCTCTTGGCTCCTACCGGTCGAGGTCGAAGAGACTCACTCACTTTGGGCCTACCCTAACCTTACCTAACCTAGTCTTGGGAAGTGTTTTTTAAAGCACAAACCCTCTATGAACTGCATGCAAGATGCAAGTTTCAAAAGTTTATAATATTAAGAATCACAGTGATGCTAACGGGAACTATCCGAATAAATTTTGGTTGACGAGTAGTTGATAAACTTCAAGATTTTACCAAAAGTTGGTAGAATCTCTCTGAATTGATGTTGCAGTATTTATTTCCTGCAGTTTCACCATCTTCACAAAAGAAGTGGAAACAACCGAACTCTGTCTCATTAACGGTTGGAACTCTACAAGTCTATTGATCGGTATCAACTAAATCTCTCTACTAACAGATAGATGGCGTAAGTTAATATTCTAATAATTTATTAGTTCTAAGGCGGCATGAAGTTCGCAGGGTCAGCTGATAGAGACTATAATACATCCCTGCAAATTATCAACTTTGGTGGTTTTTCATTTTCAAGGTATATCTAATACAGTTAATAGAAAATCGAAATAGTTGTGAAAAATGAAATGTATGGCTAGAAGAAAGCTAGTAGCCACTTGACTCTCAAGAGATTATGCCCATATCATAAGTCGTAAAATATTTATTATTTGGTAGGTGGAACATAGGTGCAATACACACAAAAGTAGTTTTCCGTGACATTTCTTGTACGTTATAGTCCGAGACACGATGTAGTCTGATGTCGCACAACACGAATTACCACAGAATTCAAATACAACCAAAGGGCTACCGAAACAGCCCGAGAAAATTACCAGGCATTTGACAATGATAGTGTTAATGAACTCACTGTTCGAATTTGGTTTGAGAAATTTCGTTTCGGAGAGTTTAACCTTGACGATAAGTTCGGAAGTGGTCGACCTATAGGAATCCAGGGCGAGGATTTGAAGACAAACAGAGTATGGGATGCCGGAAGGACTGGGAGCTAGTTTCTGTGCGGTTTTTGATGGTTTGAAACGTATTGGAAAGATCAAAAAATCTAAAAATGGATGCCACAGGATTTGAACAATCGACAGAAATTGTCACTTTCCGAAGTATCTTCTTCTTTGCTTTAGCGCGATCAAAACGATCCTTTTTTTGGTTGGATCGTATTTGTGATGAAAAGTGGATTCTCTACGACAACCTTCTGAAAACTCTCAGCTTATGCTTTTTGGCCCGATACACAGAAGATGGGAAATTGAAGGAAGAATTGAAATTCAACTTGGACAAGACTTACTACAAATGATTACAGAAAGCTAGAACTTGGGATTGTGGCTAGATGCTGGTCTGAGATTTCACAAACATATAAATTCACTTTGTCGTAGCTCGTACATTATCTTACGTCAACTCTATCAAAGTAGAGATATTATGACTTTCAAATTGAAGTTGAAACTTTGCGAAACCCTGCATCCCAAGAGGCTCTTATGCAAGCTACGGTCTTGGTTTTCCCACGCCATGGGGAATGACTAGAGAATAAATGGCAACTGTCTGAATTGTCGAAAAGAGTATTGCAATTCTGGTGATTGACAAAAATGCTGGTTTGGGACCTCCAATCAGAACTATTAATTTGATAGAATAGTCCGGGTAGAGCTTGTGTAGTTCTGAGTACTTGATAATTTGTACGTTCATTATCATTACTTTTATCGTTATTTTGATCAATCGAAAGCATTCAATGAATTCAATTACTCGAGTCAATACAAGTTGATGAACTGATTGAATTGAGCTGGTCAATACTTAATTGAAATCCATATTGAATATAAAATACTATATAGTTTTCTTAACGATTCTTATCGACAACGAGTTCAAAATATTGAATTAGAATTACTATTACTGATATTTTCATATTATCGAACCTTCCAATTATGTCATAACCTTTTACCTCTCAGTCTTTCATACGTTCAGTTCATTTTCTAATATATCAAATGTGAAAGTTTGTCAGAATGGATGTTTGTGGCTCTTTCACACCCAAACGACTCAACGGATGAAGCCTATATATCAGCATTACGTTTAGGCTACAATTTACAGAGGTTTTTTTATGATTTCGGTCATAAAATAACGATAAGTATCCAGTAAGTCGGAAAAATTCTTGCTCCCCCAGAGCGAGCGTGCGCTGCCTATAGGTACCGTTGGATAATGTACTATAAGATTGTTTATCTTAAATAGTTCTGAATAAGAGTCGGCGATAGCATATATCTACCTTTTATGTGGTAGCCACTATATGCAAAATACTGAGCCATTAATACAATTAAATTGGATATTTTTTTTACAATACATATTTTAGAATGAAAATTCGTTTAGAATAAAAATTGTTCAAAAATTATCACGATAAAATAAACTTGACGCAAAGAAGTAAGCCATTACGCGTCGCAGGGAAAGAGAGTCGGTCTAAGCAATGAAGCGCCTTCGCCGAGAATACGACTTGAATGTGGGCAGACGCGTGAGGGCAGACGTCGTTGACGGTTGTGTTACTTTTGCGAATTTCTATATAAGTCACATAAATAGATTCTAGAAGCTATTCATTACTTAGTGCAGTTGGGAATTTTTTCAGTTACTGTATTTTTAAAGTGAAAATATAAATTATCAGCTGTTGCCCGCTTTTATATTAACGTACAGACGAAGGTTCTTTGTATAGCTTGAATAAGCATCAAGAAAGGGAATCAAGAATTTCCACACCTAAAGAGGAAAAGTAGTGTTTTAAAGATTGTACTTGATTTCGTCAGTTTTGAAGATAGAGAGAGACCTGAAGTTTTCATTTATTGAAAAATATTGTACTAGTCTTTTTTATAAATTTTAACATATGTTTATATTATAGAAGATTGCATATGCTCTTGTTTTATGTATTTATGTCACTTACCGAGTATTAGTAACATGTACATAATTTCTTACTTTGGGTCATATTTGATATTATTATTATTATTATTGTAAACAATGGAAATGTTTGGTGGGGCCATTGATCTTCTCCATTGATCTTCTCCATTGAACACATTTATGGAACTGTACATTTCACAACAGTTAATTGAAAAACAAGTCTTATTGTTTGTTAAAAAAGGTGATTTGTTACAACTCTGGCCACTAGACATTAAAACAGGCAATGAAATGTATCGACCAATTCCAAGTTTTTAAGTTACATATTTTCCACCTGTAATGATAATAATAATGAAAATTGAAACAAACACTAAGTTATACAAGATTTATTATCAATGAATGTGCAAAACAGAAAAAAGGCAACGTATTTCTCAACTATTTTACAGTCAGATCATTTATCAACCTCAGTTGGTCGGTGTTTCGTTTGATGATGCTGCATCAACACCACTATTTTCACAGACAACGTATCTCTGGAAATCGCATTTAATGTCATTCCAAAGTAATTGTCCTTTTTTCGGATAATGGTATGTTTCTACACAATTCTCATTTCCGCCTACGTTGTTGGGTTCTGAAGAAGCCCAGCTGGTGAAGACGAAGGCTTTTCCAGTGGCAGACCAATAGAAGCAATTGCCGTTAATCCTTTCCCCAGAAGACCAGAAATAAACTTGTTTATTAGATGCTGAAATGATAAAAAACGAATAATAGTAAAAAAAATTCGAATATACTGTATTTCAAGCCACCAAAGTTGCTGAAAGAGTCATATTTAAAAAGGGGTTTGTGGGTTTCATTGGAAACAGACGAACTTCTAAAAAATGCTTCAGAAACTTCTCTGGAACTGCATTACCGGTATATGATCATGAAATTTGAGTTCTAATTTTCTGATAGTTGTGAATAACTTCTTACCCTGAATGAACTACAGTTATATGGAATCATTATTTTGAAGCCAGTTGCTACTATAATATGATCTGAGAATCAGTTATATGTTATTTGCTTTACTGAATGTATGAATTGACCAGAATCATTCTTGATGTATCCTTGCGATTCGAGCCATCACTTTGGTGAATATTGAAAATGAAGGAACAAGGGAACGAGGGAACGAAGTAACTGAACTTGGTTACCATTGATCATCTTATTATTGAATATCAACAAGAAGATATTTTCATTTCTGGAAATACTAGACGAAGTATAAAAAAGAAGTGGGAATGCAAAAAATAACAAAATTTTTATCATGGTCTCCAAAAATACTGATTTTATGATATATTTTGTTAAATTACCTTCTTTCTCGAATACCTCGTACAACTGAACGTTTACCCTTTCGTTCGGAATGCTCACCAGGTTCTTGCCCATGGAGTTGCAGAACTTTTTTGCTTCCGGCTGCGTCATCTGAAATATTAAAAAATTGATTACTTGGACTGAAGATACTGATTTAAACAGAGGAATAGAAATAAATTAGGATACATAGCTGCCACCCTGATGATATTCTCTTTTGAACAAAAGTTTTTTCAGCAAACTCAAATACCGACTTATGAAAGGACCTGGCCTCAGGTAGAGTGAGCTCCACAGAAGTCTCATAATTGGTACAGAAGTTCGTGAAACCAGGCGTAAGGCCTGCCGCTAAGTACCTGGAACCCCTTTGCAATTGTTGCCAAACCTTTCAAACATATGGGATCTCAACCTATATTCGTCAACATAACGCAACTCTACTAGTGATAATTGAAAAGTGGTGGGTTCATAATAAGCTGATAAGCCTACTGTAGTCCACCTGGACTATCAAAAGTAGGATAGAGAAGGAAAAGGGGGTGAAACGCCAGTGGATCTTGTATGGATAATGCAGAAGTTGGTCATTGCATTTTCACAGGGAACTTATTTTTCGTACTCAATGATCAATCTCCTCACGGTGAGGAAAGTGGTCATTGATGGTTGATGCTGGTGCTGTTGCCAAAGCGTCAGAGCCTGAAGAGAGGGCCCTATTGACTTAACTTTTATGGTGACTCAATCATTTACACAGCAATATTTTGGGAGCAGGTATGGGGAGAAATAGAAATTTTGGGTTAGCGCATTGATCCACTCCGACTCATTCATCTACCCCATAGGTTTCATTCAAATTCTGTGCAGGATTTTGTTGGAATGTCAGTTAGTTCACATTCAGAGGTCACTTTGTTCCTGTATGTATGTCAATCCGGGAATGAACACATGCTTCTAAAAGATACCAAGAAAGACAGAACACCTATGACGTGTATGTGAGACAAATAGAAACAAATTAATTTTCTCAGACACCCTGCAAGGCATAGGACTGTCTTTGATTTCTTGAAGTATTTGAAGTATCTGATGTCACTAGTAGTGTTGAATTTTGACTTGAGAAATTCACAAATGAACCTCAAATATATTCATAGGTACTTTCATTGAGCGCTTAATATCTTCAAATTTGAATGAAACAAAACGTGTGTGATATATTAACGAAATTTTTCATTCGTTTGAAAGACCTATTGATGCCATTATGTGTGGAATATAACATCGCTATGGCTTCTCTGGTTCAATCGCATCCAAAACATCCAATTTTCCATGACTCCGGCTCATAAATTAGGTTAAATTTAATCGGTGTCATGGGCTATGTTGGCTTTGAGGACTGTGTAGTTTGTGGCCTATTCGCGTACACCTACCACTTGAGAAAACCCCACAAGAAACAGTTAAACAGGGTCTGGCCACTGAGGGTCTGGCACACAGGTTCTAGCCACTGAGACCGTGCGAAATGAACGATCTCAGTGGCCAGTTCACATAACCTCCACGTGAGGTGACCATGCTCTCAAATCGCTCGTGAAGAATATCCTATATGGCATGATCTGTGTGGCACGTAGTGCCGTCCTGTTGGAAATACACGTCGTTGTGGACCAGATAATCCAATTCAGGCCAAAAGAAGGTGGTAATCATCGACCTATAGCGCTCGCCGTTGAAAGTTATGGCCTGGCCAACGTTGTTCTGAAAGAAATATGGACTGGTGACCCTGCCAGCTCAAAATCCACACCAAACAGTGATACTTTCGGGATGCATTGGACTCTCTTGGATCTCGTGGAGATCGGTATCGTCTCAAATTCGGCAATTTTGTTCACGAACCAATTCATCCAGAAATGGATGAATTGGTTCGTAATTCTTGCAAATTATATAAACATTCCTCAATCAAATAATCAATCAAACAAGTTACTGAATTTATTGAGGGTTGTTATATCTTTTAGACATCTAGGAAGCTTATTGAAAATAGTAAGACCTATCACTGATGGACAATCTAATGTTGTTTCATATTGACGAAACGGAACATGGAGAAAATTATTGTTTTTAAAAACATAGATTGACAGTTCAAAAATATACATACAGGATAGGGTTGAAATTCTAAATTTTCGAAATATATCCTGACAAGAAAATGTACTCTTGCTACTATACGAATATTTCTTTTCTGTACAATAAACACATCTGTAGCTAGTGCTACATACATATGCCATATCGCAACCTCAACACAACTTGCGCGTGATATAATGATAATAGTTGTTGTTCTGTCAGAATGCTTCTGATGTTTCTGAAAAGGTAACATAATGAATTCAATTTGTTCATCACGCGGGTGCAGTGTTTTTTCCAAGTCAGACATGCATCCATGTTCATCCCCAGAAATGCTGTATTATCCGAACTGTTGAGTGTTTGATGATTTATTTGAATTTGTACTTTTCCACATTGTCTTTGACGATTGTGGAATATCATCAACTGAGTTTCTTCAGCATTGAGGTACAATGAATTGTTTGCGCACCAATTCACAACTAACTTCAGAGTACTTTCACACTTCTCAAACAGAAGATGATCCACATTACTGGACACTACCAAGGATGTGTCATCAGCGTACATCGTTATAAATGAATCTGTGATGAAGTTATCGATTTCATTCATATAAAGAAGGAATAATATCGGACCTAGCACAGATCCTTGTGGTACACCCATCGTGACGTCCAAGCGCTCAGAATCAAAGATAGTATTGGTAGACTTACTATGATATTTCAAGCTTACAAACTGCTGTCTATTCTTCAGAAATCATAAAGTCCAGTCATAGGCAACACCTCGTATAACATACGCTTACGCATAAAGCTTTGACATGAGTTGATATTGATTAACACAGTCGAAAGTCCTGCTGATTTTTCTATGAATGTTAGGGTCAGTTGCCAACTACTTCAGAGCCCATAACTCTGCGAAAGGCCAAGTTATTGTGAGCGACGCCTAATCGACTGCCTTTGATTCTCCTGCACCTGCGGTGTAATCTTGCGTTCCATTGATGGATGTTGATTGATCGTTTATGGAACCAGTGGATTTACATTCATTCCCTCATTGCGAATAATCCTCTCAGTAGAATGAATATGACAACAGTAAAATGGGAGAAGCGCGCGGTACGTTGTTCGAACAAAACACCCATTTTGATAAAACAATTTTATCATTTGTACGTGTTGTTGAAAGCTATATCCGTTCAAGGTGATTTGGTAAACCAGACTGAATAAATGGCAACTAATGTGACAGATGTTGCTTCAACAAAATGACTGTTATCAACTGTCAAAGTTCGGAAGTCCCTGTTGGAAGGGCCTATGTTGAGATTGAAGGTGCAATTTCGAATTTAACAGATTCTTCAAGAATAGAGCTCATTCATTTGAGCAATACTTCTGATATGTGAAGTATAAGATTTTGTGCTAGTGAAAAAAAGACTACAGAGGGTAATCTTCACCATACACAGGAATCAATATGACCAAAATATATGGTCTGTAGTTAAGTTCAGAGGACAGTTCAGACATAAGTTTCTCAGTATTTTCATTGAATTTCCACATCCAATATTCTTTTTCCACATACTTTTCCAATACACTTCTCCAATATATACTTTTCATATACTTTTCCAATATACTTTTTTCACATCCAATATACTTTTCAATGAACTTCCATATCCAATATACTTTTTCCACATACGTTTCCAATATACTTTCCAAATACTTTTCCAATATATACTTTCTATATACTTTTCCAATATACTTTTTACACATCCAATATACTTTTCATTGAATTATTAAATAAAACTGGCCAATACTCGATGAAAATCCAAATTAGTTTATGATTGAGGAAGCTATTGTATAGCGAAACACGTGTCGCGGTTTTTGTAAAACCCTGTTATACTGACAATCATACAATAAACTGTATTGATTAGTTTTTTTCATTGAATTTACATATCCAATATACTCTTTCCACATACTTTCCCAATATACTTTCCATATCTCTACCCAATAAATACTTTCCATATATTTGTCCAATATACTTTTTCGAGAGTGAAGTCAGTGTCAATAGAAGGCGATTCATACAGCTGAGGTGGAAAGTCATCACTGAGTCTGTGCTATGGCCATATTGATTGTGAAAAATCACGAAAAGTATTACAAGCATGGTTATTTGAGAAAAGTTTCAGTGAAATGAGTAATTTCTATCTGAAAACGAGAATATGCAATTCAGAGTTTCAGCTAGTGTGCCATAGTTTTCCAATTCCATTAATTGAACATCAGTATTGACGCAGTCGAACATCCTGAAATCCTATGAATATGTGACAACACATTTGGATATGTCAAGACTAAATCAAGTCACCATGCCTCGATTCATCTAGTTACCCTGTACCAAAAGCTGCAGAGAAAGACAGAAAGCGATTTCACTCATGGATCTTAAATTAGCATAGTGAGAATTTTCTTTAATCTCATAGGCACTGTCTTTGTAAAGGAGTTGTTAATGTTCGGTTATGTTCAGAATTATCCTTCCCGGACATTTGAGTCCAACAGTGCATTCGTGGTTCAGCGTAGTACAACTTATGTGAACTATGGCAGGTCGAAACCGCTTATATTTGATCACTCCTATGTATTTTCGGAGCTGGAGTTGCTGATTTCTCACATTTGGTTGTGGTGAATAATACTTTACCCCAGAGAGACTATTATTTTGAGTATTGATGCAAAATACTATTTGTGAATTGCTCCAAATAGCTCCAAGTAGTGTTTTAGATCAGTAGTGTTTTGGATTGCTCCATATGCCTCGATGTAGTGTTTTGCGTCAATACTCAGTAATATTGATACGAATAATCATTGGTATCTCAGAAGAGGTACTGATGATTCAGGTAGCATCTCTGTTATTTCAGGAATCTGTTTTTCCGTTAACCAGATATCGCTCCCCTGCGAACGACAATTCTTGAAAGTCGAAACTTGTGCGAGCTAAGGACTAACGAGGTCTTACCTTTTAACATTTGATTCCTAACAAGGGTTGGACGATAGCAAGTGAAAATCGATCGTCCTGCCTTGCGGTTCGAACCACCGGTTTGCTCATCCGTCGATTGACTAAGTGAAAATTAGACAAAAGTTATTTTCTCTATCCTATATTCAATATCATTTTCCACAGAATAAATATGTCATTAATTAAACAAGGCTGACTTTAGACATGTATTTTGTAGTAGAAGGTATATGTCTGAATTCAGAATAATATAATTTGGAACCAATTGAATAGGTAGCCAGCCGCACATTTATGGTTTCAGTTAACAGATTTTGTGTCTACAAAAAAACTATCAAATTCACCACGTAGGCAGCTGTAGCTACCTGCGTGACATCCGAGTCCAGGAAATAATACAATTATGATAGTTATAATCGGACATTGCATTCAATAATGTGGCAAACCATAGACACGTGTTTTGGGCTTTTGGCCCATCATCAGTATAGTGCAGCCAAGTGTAAGGATGGGCAATACTTGGTTACCAAAAGAAAGAAATAAATACAAATGCACAGAGTCACCAGCAGGAGCCAGCCGCACATTTGTGGTTTCAGTTGATAGATTTTATGTTTACAACGCTGGTGTTCCCCAGGGATCCATATCGTCTCCAACCCTCTTTTTATTGTATATCAACGACTTTTCGAAAAAACTTTCTTATTAGTCAGTGGGCTATGCTTGAAGACTGACAGTAAACAATTCTAAAGAAATGAACTTTGAACGTTCAAGCCAGTCTCGAATATACTAACAAAAGTTTTTTCAGCAAACTCAAATACCGACTTATGAAAGGACCTGGCCTCAGGTAGAGTGAGCTGAACTCCACAGAAGTCTCATAATTGGTACAGAAGTTCGTGAAACCAGGCGTAAGGCCTGCCGCTAAGTACCTGAGACCCCTTTGCAATTGTTGCCAAACTTTTCAAACATGTGGGATCTCAACCTATATTCGTCAACATAACGCAACTCTACTAGTGATAATTGAAAAGTGGTGGGTTCATAATGAACTGATAAGCCTACTGTAGTCCACCTGAACTATCTAAAGTAGGATAGAGAAGGAAAACGGGATGGAACGGATGAAATTTCAGTGCATTCTCTTTGAACTTATATACTCAAGCAAGATCAATCTGCAGGAATGGTTGTTATGTTTGTAGTGGAATCTTGCCTTTCTGCCCAAAAACGCCAGTGGATCTTGTATGGATAATGCAGAAGTTGGTCATTGCATTTTCACAGGAAACTTATTTTTCGTACTCAATGATCAATCTCCTCACGGTGAGGAAAGTGGTCATTGATGGTTGATGCTGGTGCTGTTGCCAAAGCGTCAGAGCCTGAAGAGAGGGCCCTATTGACTTAACTTTTATGGTGACTCAATCATTTACACAGCAATATTTTGGGAGCAGGTATGGGGAGAAATAGAAATTTTGGGTTAGCGCATTGATCCACTCCGACTCATTCATCTACCCCATAGGTTTCATTCAAATTCTGTGCAGGATTTTGTTGGAATGTCAGTTAGTTCACATTCAAAGGTCACTTTGTTCCTGTATGTATGTCAATCCGGGAATGAACACACGCTTCTAAAAGATACCAAGAAAGACAGAACACATATGACGTGTATGTGAGACAAATACAAACGAATTAATTTTCTCAGACACCCTGCAAGGCATAAGACTATCTTTGATTTATTGAAGTATTTGAGGTATCTGATATCACTAGTAGTTTTGAATTCTTTGAAGTTTGGTAAAAAAGGCTTAAGTCAATCATACACCGTTTTGGGGTTTTTGTGGAGCTCAAGTCAAAATTTCATGCTCTCTCGATTGATATAAACGGCTTAAATCTAGACAGTTTTTGCGCCACACAATTTGCTCTAGTAATAGGGAATTAAGTTAGAAATGTAGAATGATGTTTGATATTATGGGCTTCAGTCGACATGCGCCCATTGTACCAAACAAAGAATGAGAAGCAAGCCTCTGGTCTCACAGGCTTTTGTCATATTGAGCCCGTCATATCAACTCAATGTACAAATATCATTGTGCCTCTCTGTTATTTATACCGTGCTGTGAAGTGAAAATGTTATAACAATCGAGAAAACCGTTTTAATTTGTGTTCTGTATAATAAAATGAGTAACCGAGGTGAAAAGCTACTACAATTAGCATTAAATCATGTCGATTATTCACCAGGTAAGAACGTTAGTAAAAATATTTGTGACATAACCTATAAAACTAATTTTGTCCTGCACAGTGCCGTCCTCCCCAATTTCTTCAAGTTCTTCTTCATCACCACGAAGTTTGCCACCTGGTGTTCAGAATTTTCTTTTCAATTTTCAGTGATATTGACGAAACTTATCAGCCTCCTCCAGATTCGGATTATTCCGACAGCAGTCATTACTGCGATTCCAGCAAGAGAAAGCTGGGATGTAAAAAGAGAAAAAATGTAGCTTCAACAGGAGGTGTTTCTACATTTTCCACAATAGAGATGTCACACACTCAAATTAAACAAACGAATTCATCTCGAAAATCTAAAGACCCAATAATAAATGATGTTATTCCACAATCACGCATCAACGAAGAAGATATGGAAGAGCACAAAAATGCTGAGGGATAAAATAATCATGATGTCGAAGGAAAAAATATGAAAGAATACGAATTCATCTCGAAAATCTAAAGACCCAATAATAAATGATGTTATTCCACAATCACGCATCAACGAAGAAGATATGGAAGAGCAAAAAAATGCTGAGGGAGACAATGATCATGATGTCTAAGGAAAAAATATGGAAGAATAAGAAGATGCTGCGGAAGGAAATAATTATGGAGTCGAAGAAAATATAGAAGAACAAGACCATGCTGAGGAAAGAAATAATCGTGATGTCGCAGAAAGAGCTATGGCTAAAAAGAAATGGTCAAGATCTATTCGAAATGAAAGAACGAAGTTTTTTCACACTGGGCAGAGTGTGCCATAGTTTTCCAATTCCATTAATGGAACATCAATATTGACGCAGTCGAACATCCTGAAATCCCATGAATATATGACAACACATTTGGATATGTCAAGACTAAATCAAGTCACCATGCCTTGCGTCATGACCGCACTGTTTTTGGGCCCTCGATTCATCTAGTTACCCTGTACCAAAAGCAGCAGAGAAAGACAGAAAGCGATTTCATAATCGGCGGTCTGTGTCGTCGGAAATACACTCATGGATCTTAAATTAGCATGGTGAGAATTTTCTTCAATCTCATAGACACTGTCTTTGTAAAGGAGTTGTTAATGTTCGGTTATGTTCAGAATTATTCTTCCCGGACATTTGAGTCCAACAGTGCATTCGTGGTTCAGCGTAGTACAACTTAAGTGAACTATGGCGTGTCGAAACCGCTCATATTTGATCACTCCTATGTATTTTCGGAGCTGGAGTTGCTGATTTCCCATATTTGGTTGTGGTGAATAATACTTTACCCCAGAGAGACTATTATGGAGCGTGAGTTTTGAAAAATCAGAGCAACCATGATTTGAAATTATTGAAATGGAACAAATATTAGGATTATTAATATTATCTTACCGTAGACTTCAAATGGAAATAATAATTCATATCACCAATAGTTCGAAAATTAGCCATTTCCAATTGGATTTCATTGAAATCCTTACTGCTATCTGAAACAAAAAAAAATGCTATGAATTCATTATTGACCACAAACATTTCGATTGATATAATTTCAATATATTACCGAAAATAGAATACAGAGGTCGCGACTTCAGATGAAATGTAAAAAATATGTTTTGAAAAAATTTGTTTTTCTGTTAATCAGTTGTGGCCTCATACGAACGACAACTCTCAGCAGTTGAGAAACTTGTGCGAGGTAAGGACTAACGAGGTCTTACCTTTTAACGTGCGACGACGAAAATATATATATATATATANTATCAAAACCGACGTTTAGGAACATGTTTCGTGAATTTGTGACAGAATTTTGCTGTTATAAAAATATATAGGTATCAGTAATGTAACAAATTGCAATGGATAGCGTCTTGAGGATGTTAAAAGAGTACATATTTAAGATTTGGTTATTTCAAAAATGCAATAATGACGATTCAAATAGGAAAAGTTGATATATGAAAGTCTACCTGAGGAAATTACTGTTGTATTGAAATGATAGAGCCTATATTAGGGAAATTTGTAAAACACAAGTACCACAAGAAAATCTTTAAGGTCCTCTAAGAGCAGTGTCTGTGCGGAAGTAGTGATTCACGTTAGAATTGAATCACTGGAGATTTTCGTTTGGAAAAACGTCCTCAGGAAGTTTAGTTCATATAAACGAAGCTCTCCAGATGGAAGAGTTCTTAAATAGTGAAGTTCAAGGTGTACTGAGTTGAACCTCAGAACAGAATGAGCCTCAAGGATGAGCAGCCACAGTCCGTTGCTTATTTCTGATATGTACCGCTCTTGGTGGAATCAAATGTACCAAGAAAGTATTTATGGAAAGGAGATAAATTGACAACCTCTCTTCGAACGTGAAATTCAACATGTTTTTGGATGTTTGCGGAAAGTTCTTCCCATAGCGATTCGGTTTCGATGTGAAACATCTTAATATTTCTGAATCTCTTGGATATTGAATTTCATTCATTCAATCAGCTTTTTTCTTTTGAAAGCAATGGAGATCACACAGTTTTCAGGAAATTTCGACTATACTGAGAATATCATTCGAAAATAGCCAGTGGTGTAAGGTTTTTTCAACGGAAAATCGAACCGATTTCGAAAACGGTTTTTCCTGAGGAGCTGAAAATGACTCCACTCTATCAATTTAGATGAAAAATATATAATGCCGGACTAGAACTCATGAAAGATCAGACTTAAATGAATGTGACTCAAGTTGCATTGTTCAGCATATTTAACCAAGAATGAGTATTCTTTTTTTCTATTGTTATTGTCGCAATACATATTTCTCAACAAACAATGTTTTATATATTGGATTGAATATTCGAATAATGGTTAGGTGCACGACTGAAGACCAACAGAAATGCACCGATTTTACGTCAAATAGAAGAAATTAGATGTGCAAAAACCGTTTCAGGAATTATATTCCAGAAAACTGCATTCGAATAGGTCAATTTCTCGAAAATTGTCTACATTTTCTCACATAATATGATCGTTAAACTCAAAGCTCATCAGAGAAGAAAAGAAGCATTAGATGACATTGATGTTTCGGTTCAAACTTAGCTAGATTCATGTTGGTTTTCATCTAATTTGAAAAAAAAAATCTCATCTCTGAAATCATATACATTGTACTAGTCTTCGAACTGATATACTAATATGGCACATTTTCTATTAAATATTAACATTCTAGACACTTATAGACTCAAAAATTCAATAAAAGGGTACATTCATTCGCAAGTTGCAGTAACAAAAATGGTGAAAACAAGCAGAATGTATGTTTCTGAGTAGAAATAAATTGCAATTTATAATTCGCAACCAATTTCAACAGAAGTAATGATCAAATTATAATATCAAGGAGACGACACAATTTCAATAAACTCTATCATGTTCAAATGGAGAGGCAAATAGTGACATAATTGTTGAAAACTGGCCGATCCTTGATGAAAATGAATATAATTAATACAGTTTATTGTATGATGTTCACTATAAAGGGTTTTCCAAAAAATCCCACTATATGGGGTTTTACCCCATACAAAACACTGTATTAATTAGTTTTAAATAGTGTCATGCTATAAAGAAGCCACAGGTATGCAAACACGTGAAACATCCTCAGGTCTTTTTGCTGCGGTTGAATGGAAGAAAATCTAAATACAAATAATAATTTATCATCCTACAAAAAAGTTTTCTACATTTGGTTCGGTAATAGTCGATTCTATCTACAATGAAATGGTTTTTGTGAGGAACTTTTTGAACAAGTTTTTTCAGTTGATGGATTAGAACTGTAGAGCAGTGACAAACTAGATCTCCGGAATTGAAAACTTATTTGAAAAGGAAAGAGTTTGAAAACTAGGCACTGACAACAATTCAATATGAGAAGGTACAATTTAATGAAGACACAAATCGTCCTGAGATAGTTGGAATTACACAGAAATTACTCTATTGATGAGGAACTGACTGAGATAATGTTATTAAATATCAAAGTAGCGTGAAACATTGGATTGAAAATTTAATAAAGCCAAATGAAGTATTTTTGTATAGAAATATGCGGAATGTTTTTCAAAACCATTCAAAAATCAATAGTTACCTGTACAATTATGTTGGGAAAGTGACCATTATACCTATTTCATGATAAAAATGCCAATTATTCATTCAAATTTATAGCGATCAATGGAAGTGATAGTTTATTTTCAAGTAACTATATTCTGTAGTTCTTGATATATTTCATTTTATTATATAATATATGAATATAAGGATCAGAAAGCCAAAATCCAGACCAGAATTTTATAGTGAACAAGAGAAAAATTATCAGTTAATAGTACTTTCTATAGTTCCGCAAGCTAGCTGAAGTTTCATGACCACAATTCAGTCGAAACAATCTCTATTATTTTTAACGATAACACATCATAATTTCAGAGACGAATCTCTGAATTTAAACTACACTACGAAAATAAAAAGGTATGTTTCTCACCTTGATCGTTCGCCGTCTGATTCACTAAGGCTGAATCAATGACGCAAAATATGGAACAACTGATTACTAACACTTTAGTCAACATCTTGGAGGACTGCAATGACAATATTGCATTATTCTACTTTTTGAGCATTTTATATCCCAGCCTTATCTCATCTGGGCAATTCTTGGTCATAATATTATGCAATGATGTTCGTTATTTTTTATTTTCAATTCAGAATGAAGATAATAATTATCTTCAAACGAATTAACTTCAGAATCATTGAAAAAAAATATTTGGAAGGTGTCATATTTGATCTTGGTATATTTTACCCCTATAATTGCTCATTGTCAGCCGTAATCTGGTAATTTCATTTGTGCATCTTTTCAAACACATTATTTCTCATAAGAATCGACTCACAAGCGATTGTGAGCTGGTTCTTATTACCCTGCGTTGTATTTCATGAAAATAACAGAATATGCAGATAACATTTTTGAATGTTTCTCAGAACATTCTAGTTCATGCAAAAATATCCGAAAAATTGATTGGATGATTTTCAAACTATCAATCAATTGTGAAATTGCTCATCTATGAGCTTTTAAGTGAACAATGGCTGGATCCAAAACTTTCTGTTCCTTAGAAGGATGCACATGCATATAGTCATTATGAAATCGATTTTGAAGCTGACGCTCAGCAAATATTCAGTTGAAAAAACAGTGGGGGAATTTCTACCGACTATTTTTTCACCGATTTTGAAAAGTTGCCAGTGTGCGGCTAGCCTTACGATTTTCGTCGTGATTGGAAATTACCTACCTAGGCACAAGAAGGTTATACATATAATAATAATAATAATAATACGTTTATTATTTACCAAAAATTCACAACCAATATTAAGTTTCAATAAAAAAAAACTAACTGGCAGAAGATTGAATAATTTTGGACCGTGATAGAAAATACATCTTTTCAGTAACTGCGTGTCCTTGTACAGACATTCGGTAGAGTAAATTTTAGGTTTTTTGAATAATATTTTCAACATTGTATTTTGAGATAGTTGGAGGGTATTAAATGTACCACCCCAGGCAGCAATACAGTATCTTATTACAGATTCTGCTAAAGACTGGTATATGGTGATCAAATTTTTGTGTTCCAGAATGTTTCTCAATTCATAGAATTTTTTTGTTAAAAGTCTGAGCCGTTTTACAACATAGTTTATGTGGTCATTCCACCTCATATGCCGATCCACTATAACTCCCAGATACTCATTTTCGTTCTTTCTATAACAAAACAATTGCAATTTGTTGTATTAGTACAGTCTCTGTCATGTATATGGATTATGTTATTTCCAGGTTGATCGTTCTGTAATAGGGTGAATGTAATAAATTTAGTTTTTTTCATATTCAGACTCAGAAGGTTGTGATCAAGCCATATCTGGATATCTTTCAGTCCCTTTTCTGATTTTTCAAATGCCTCCTTCCAATTACTACCTGTGAATATGAGTGCTGTATCGTCCGCATATGATATGAGATGACCTCCAAAATTGTTGATGGAACATATACTATTAATGTAAACAAGAAATAGTATGGGACCTAAACCTGTTCCCTGTGGTACATCTGTTTTAGCTTTCATTGCTTCACTCAGGCCATTATCAACTTTGACCTTTTGTATCCTATGTGATAGATAGTCTTCCAAAATATTGTATGTTGGGTCACGTATATCATAACCATGTAATTTTTTTAATAGCATGTCGTGATCAACGGTGTCGAATGCCTTAGCTGGGTCTAGAAATATAGCTAAACATTTTTCTGATCTATGTAATGCTCCAATTATTTTTTGTACAAAATCTAGTACTGCTTTTTCGGTATTGGAGTTGCTAATGAAACCAAACTAAATCCACTAGAATCCACAATGCCGGAAATTACTTTTCGACAGCCTTTAGTGAGGCGAATTTTGAAACAGCTCAATATCAACAAAGCGTCTGACCCTGATTAAGTGCCCGTCATCATACTTAAAAAGTGCGCAAATGAACCCGCACCAGATTTTTGCAGACTTTTCAACCCGTCTTATAAGAAAGGAGTTTTTCCTTCTTGTTGGAAGATGGCTCGCGTTCAGCCTATTCCCAAAAAGGACAAGAAAAATCTTCCATATAACTATAGACCAATCGCTTTGCTATCAGTGATATCAAAAATCATGGAGAATGTCGTAAACCACCATTTCCTCAAATATTTGGGAGGCTTCAACATCTTGAGTGAACATCGTATGTCACCTATATTTGGCAAAACGCCATCGAGAAACATGGAGAATCAAGATCGGTTGCGTTTGATAATTTTAAGGCCTTCAACCGTGTATGGCATGAGGGTTTGCTGGCCAAACTTCGAAGCTATGGCTTGTCATTTTTGTGTATGGCTCTTTAGCTTCCTAAAAGAATGTTTCCTGCATGTAGCTGTCGATGGATATCTTTCGAATACTTTCATCATCAACGCTGGTATTCCCCAGGAATTTCATTTGGATTCCAGGACATTGACTTCGGAAGCACATCTTCACCGGCAGCAGGTTGCATATCTTAATTAGGGTCAAGAAGTGATTCCGAATTGAGGTGACAGTAACTAGGTTCAATTCAATGCCACAAAAACCCGGGCATCGGTTTTCTTCGCTGAGTTTGTTGAGGGTTCAAATGGGCATCAATATGTATTGACACAATTATGTCGCTGAAAATGCAAAGGTTGCTTCCCAAAAGCATGGAACACTGTTCCGAACCAGAAAACTGTACACACCTCAGCAACTTTTGATGCTTTATGAAGCTCAGATCAGACCTTCTTTGGAGAATTATTCTCATGTATGGAGCTCCGCCCCTAATACCCTCAATCTGTTGGATTCCATCTAGAAAAGAGTAATCTGCCTGATTGGAAACGCGAATATCACTTGCAACCTTGATAGTCTGGAACATCGAAGAAAGGTTGAAGATTTGTCTCTGTTCTCTCTGTATCTGTAGAGTAGGGAGGGTGAGTGTAAGCCCACAGCACTTAGGCCACATGTGACCCGTACAATGGGTCACATGTGACCCTCCCGAGGAGTTGTCCTCCTAGGTCATCGTCCATCCTGTCCTTTCCAGGAAGGTGGACAGGTCACTGGGAGACATCTCCTTTATATCGGCAGGTGTAGGCCAAGACTCGCCGAACAGACACTCTCTTATTGACGATAACTCCGGGCACTCGCACAGGACATGCCTGACAGTCTCATCTTCCTGTTCACACATCCTGCATAGAGGTGTGTCCACTAGCCCCATATCATGAAGGTGTCTCCTTAGTTGACAGTGGCCAGTCAGAAATCCCACTATTAGGCGTAGATTTTTCCTGGTCATCGCCAGATATCTCTTTGGCTCCAGCTTCCCAGGGTCACCCAATGTGATCCTGGCAAGATTACATCCTTTGATTCCATCCAATCTCTTTAAGGACTGAGCATGGGTGTAGCATTCGACTAGTTCCGCAATTGTCGAAGTCATCAGGCCGTAGGTGCCACTGGGTCCTAAGATTCTTAGTCCAGCCGCTTCCTTGGCTAAGAGTCGGCAATGCGATTACTTTTACTCCTGTCGTGCCCTTCAACTCACCTCAGGATAATGTTATTATCTACCGAGGCTTTGGCTGAATCTTGGTGACACTCTAGTACTAGCCCTGAGGCTGAGCCTGAACAGGCTGAGCCCTGTTCAAGGCTTATAGGGCTTGTCTGCTGTCAGTGCAGATTGTTATGTTTGTGCCAGAAATTCCTCTCTTGGTTATTTCTTTTGTGGCCATCGAGATACCAGCCTGTTCTATAGATATTTACGCGACGGACTATGGGTTCTCATCTTTTTGAGGTTCAACTCGGTACACCTCAAACTCCATTCTTTGAGACCCCTTTCATTTGGAGAACTGCGTTTATGTAGAATGAACTTCCTGAGACAGCTTTTCCAAATGGGTTTAGTCTACAGCGATTCAAATCCAATGTGAACCACTACTTTCGTACAGGCAACGCTCATATAGCGTCTTAAGGATTTTCCTGTAGTGCTTGTGTTTTGTATTTGAAAAAACTGATCTATTTCTTTTTCATTTCCATTAATTTCGGATTCTTATTGATGTCAATTTTCCTAACCAGTTAGGAGACTGGTATGCTGACAAGTATTGTGGAAATGAAAACTGCAATATTTTCACAGCAACAATAGTTCATTTTGTAATGTTAATGTAATTTTCCAGTGTTAATAAATATGTTATTTTTCATAAATCTAATTACTGATATGTTCAACTCGAAACCTTGAATGTAGCACATCATGTGGTCGATAATCATTTTGTTCTAATTGAATTTCCTTTGATGAAATGAGTTTCATTTTGAAATCGCGAAACGAATCTGGTGTCGAGAATCACATTCCCTCCAGTTGTTTTCATTTATACACTATAATAGAAACTTTGCGATTTTTTCAAATCCGTAAGTCAATAAAAATCAAAGTCCATATAAGATATCACATTGGCCTTGAGAAACCTCTGGTCAGTAACAGACATTATATCAAATCAATGAAAATGCAAGAGCGAATAATGATTTTGAAAAAACAATGAGGTTAATTGAAGGGAAATGAACCGAAGTTGCTGAGATGAGATAGCTTTTAACCCAAAAAGATAAATCCTTATTTATTATATAATTTTTGGATTGCGGGAGTGCTACAGATAGCATTTTATCATTTTGGACTGTAAACAACGGAATCCTTCACTTTTCTTATCTTTCACATGTTTTGGAACATTTATTTGAATCAGGTGATTGTAATTAAGATTATCGGAGAGATTTTCAATGAAGCTTTTATTTGCAATTTTTATTGTTGCTTCCTACTTTTAGAGTGCACTGATCAATCAAAAAACAATTCAGGATGTTTTGCAGAAAGCTTGATAATCCTGTAACTGAAAAATGAGCAATTTCAAAGAATATGTTGTTGTTTCGGGATTGTCCGATATGGATATCAAATTCATATTCACTCCTCACCTCTGAAGTTCGAACAGCAAGAGAATGTATCGTTTCCTTACTCGTTTCTAGATCGAGACCGAGAAAGCGGTACATGTGCCCAGTTAGAATGACTATCTCTTGATTTGCGGAGGCAAGAGCGCAAGTCGTGTCTTGATT